ACTACTATTATCATTCTCACCTCTAGTTTTACTATGTAATTCCCACACACTAGCATCACGTTTTAATGCCAAGAATCTGCTAAATGCTCAAGCCTTGATTTCCTCATCAGTAACATCCAAAATAATAATATCTAATCTACAGTGTTGTTACAAGGGCTAAATAAATGCATGTTGAAAGGGCTAAGCATGCCTCTTCTTTTCTGTACATGAAAAGAGGAAACTCAGTTTTTACTACATTCCAGGCACAATGCTTAGCCCCTCCCCCCTTTTTTTAATCATCACCCAAGGATATTTTTCTATTTATCTTCAAATAGAGTAGGAGGGAGAGACAGGGAGAGAAAGAGAAACTGACGTGAAAGAGACACGTCGACTGGTTGCCTCCCATGCAACCCAGACCAGGGGCGGGGACAAATGGCAACCAAGGTACATGCCCTTGGCCAGAATTGAACCCATGGGGGCTGACACTACTGCTGAGCCAAACTGGCTAGGGCATGCTTAGCCTTTTCTTTTATTTATTTATTTTTTTATCCTCACCCGAGGACATTTTTGCATTTATCTTGAGATAGGGCGGGAGGGGGGGGGCGAGAGAAAGACAGAGAGAAACATGGATGTGAGAGACACACAACAACTGCTTGCCACCACACGACTCCAATGGGGGCCGGGGACAAACTGCAAAAGAGGTATGTGCAGACCGAACCCGGGCCTCTCTGATCGGCAGGCCGACGTTCTAACTGCTGAGCCAAACCAGCCAGGGCTGCTTAGCCCTTTCAACATGCATTTATTTAGCCCTTGTAACAACACTGTAGATTAGATATTATTATTTCGGATGTCACCGATGAGGAAATCAAGGCTTGAACATTCAGCAGATTCTTGGTATTAAAATGTGATGTGAGTGTGTGAGAATAAGTCATTTGGCAGAGACCTAGCTAACTCTCTAGAACTCATGTTTAACTCAACTTGATTTTATTTATTTATTTTTAAATATGTTTTTATTGATTTTTTTAGAGAGAGAGAGATACATTGAAGAGAAAGAAACATCAATCAGCTGCCTTCTGTATGCCCCCAACAGGGATCGAGCCCACAACCCTGGCACATGCCCTGACCAGGAATCAAACCAGTGACTTATTGATGCATGGGATGAAGCTCAATCCACTGAGCCATACTGGCCGGGCTCAACTTTATTTTAATTTGTCACTGTTTATACATGAAAGCAAGCATGTGACGTGCGCATAAGGAAAGAGGACGGCAAGTACCACTTACTGACTAGTTATCTGTCACTACTTCTCTCTACCTAGCCAAATCTTTCCATCCTTTCAGGGTGCTCTGACCAGTAAAACAGAAGCTGGGCTCTCTCCTCTCTTAACTCTTATCTATTTTTTTTTAAATCCTCACCCGAGAATATTTTTCTGTTTATCTTCAGATAGAGTAGACGGGAGGGAGGAAGGGAGAGAGGAAAAAGAAAGGAAGGGGTGGGGGAGAGAAATATTGATGTGAGAGACACATCAACTGGCTGCCTCCTGCATGACCCTGACCAGGGCCAGGGACCGAACTGCAACCAAGGTATGTGCATTTTACCAGAATCGAACCCATGGCTCTCTGGTCTGTAGGCTGATGCTCTCACCGCTGAGCCAAACCAGTCAGGGCCTCTCTTAACTCTTAACCCTTACTGTCCAAATAAAAATTTTGTAATGGATCACATATGATTTCGTATCATTACTTAATACTTACTTATGCTAGGATCCTCAAATAGGAAGTCCCATGAGGGCTCATACTTTGACCTTAAATTTCTCTTACTTTCCTTAGAGTACCTAGCATACTGCTGGGCATTAAGTTATTTCACAATAATATTTATAGAATAGTTTAATATCCAGACCCTGCAAGGCTTTTCCAAATAAAGATGATTCTTATTTATTCAATAAATTTTTACCTAAAATGTAGTAGGTACTGCGTTAAATCTTGAAGCTGAATTAGAACATAATAAAACACTGTGGTCCCAGTCCTCAGAAGTTCATAGTAGACTGGGGAAAACTACAGGTAGTCAGATAATTATGATATAGTGAGGTAAGTGCTATAATGATATTTGAGCCAAATGCTAAGAGAATATTGAAAAGGGAAGGATAAACTCCCCCAAAGGGCCTAGAAAGCAATTCAAAATTCACTTATTTAACAAATATTTATGACTACTTAATATGTGCCAAGCACTGCGATAGGTCCAAGAATACAGAGGTAAATAAAATACCAAAGGTCCCTGTACTCATGAAATTTATAATCTAGAATTCACAGAGAAAGTTGCATTTGAGTGGGTTGACAAATGATTAGAAATTCACTCCATAAAAATAAAAAGAAAGGTTTTCCAGGAAAAGGTAGCAACATTATTCAAAGCACTAGAGACATGAAAGAGAATAGCGTATACAGAGAACAGCAAGAAATGGAGTGTGGCTGGATGGGATGAGATGACAAGGCTCACTGCGTCAGAAGAGAAAGGGTAACAAATACCATGCCAAGGTTGTTCAAGTTTTAGTTCATTTGGTCATTCAGAAAAATGTATTGCAGACTTCTATATGCCAAGCCCTGTACCAGGCACAGGGGACACAAAATCAACAAGACATACTCTTTTTTTTTTTTTAATCCTTACCCGAGGGCATTTTTCCATTTTTTATTCAGATAGAGTGGGAGGGAGAGAAAGGAAGAGACAGAGAGAGAGAGAAACATTGATGTGAAAGGGACACATCGAGTGGCTGCCACCCACACGATCCAACCAGGGCCGGGGACAAACTGCAACCGAAGTACATGCCCTTAGCGGGAACCGAACCCAGGTCTCTCTGGACCGCAAGCCGACGCTCTAACCGCTGAGCAAAACCGGCCAGGGCAAGACGTACTTTTTCAAGAATCTGAGTGTAGCAGGGCGTAGGTATGTAAAGGAGCTCAATTAAGCACAAACAAGTGTAATGATAGGGGCATGTTTAAGATGCAGGGATGTAAACTTAGAGAATGTAAATTTGAATAAAGGAAACCTCATTTAAATAGAATTGGGAGGCCAGGAGGAGGAGCTGTACTGCACTACCACTAGACCCCAATAAGAAGGGACCATATCTTGCATATCCAACAAAAAGTGTTTTTACTTTACTAACAAAAAAAGTTTTTCTATTTAGCCTAGCAACAAGCACAACCAATGGGAACCCTCAAAACCCAGCCAATCAGAAGCCATCAACACTTGGAACTCTCTCTTTCCTCCAATGAACTTACCTTCAAAGCACCAGTCTCCTCCCAACTTCACCTTTTTTCTCTACAAACGTTTTCCTCTCCTTTGTTTACTGGACTTGCATATGGTTTTTGCTATAGCATGCTTGTGTTGAATTTTAATTCTCTGCCATTCCTGACTCAATCCATTTCTGCTGGTAAAAATAACTGTGTCTGGCTGGTATGGCTGAGTGGTAGAGCATTGACCCCTGCACCAAGAGGTCACCAGTTCAATTCCAGGCCAGGGCACATGCCCAAGTTGTGGGCCAAATCCCCAGTGGGGGGGATGCAGGAGATGGCCAATGGATGTTCTTTCTCATTGAGGTTTCTCTTTCCCTCTCCCTACCTCTGTCTCTAAAATCAATAAAGAAAAACCTAGCCTTACTGAGTTTGTACGGGGTACATAGAATCATAGTTGGTAGTTTAACATTCCTAATAGACAAAATTTTGCAAAAGAATAACATAGGGGGTTTCTCCTACCAGCTAGCAAAACATATCATAGAGCCAAAGTAATTAGAAGAGTGTAAGAGTAGTATGGGAATTTATATAAGTCAGTAGGGTATGAGGGAAACAAATTAGGAGTGGTCAGGAACAGTTTAGGGATGAAGCATAGCAAAAATAATTCATAGGTCTGCCATAGAACTCCTGGCTTTCAAAGTCCATTGCACATTTTCTCTAATCCCAGATTCCCTCTCACCTTCAGAGATTCGATCGTGGCCTGCTTGTAAATCTTTCCTCCAGGATCTTTCTTCTGAGGACTACTCTGGAGTCTAGGCGATCGAATGACGAATTTATCCATTTCTAGGGGACTCCACTACCTTCACGGCTTGCAGTGTGCTCTGCTCAAGAAAGAGAGCAGATTCTAAGTCATCAGAACTGCTGGGAAGTGTGTTCCCTAAAGTGACACAGTTGGTTTCTATACACCCTGGAAGCATCCCAGAATTATGAGGACTAATGGATGGGATTTACAGAAAGTGTTTCTCTAAAAAGAAACACTTCCTAAGAACTGAAACTTGTACAACGATGGGTCTAACTCCCGAGTCAGGAAGTGCCTAGCTTTCAGAAGTGCACGCTGTGGAGGGGATTCCGGTACTGGGCCAGGCGTGGAACCTAGTGACAAGCCTCTTCCTACTTTGGTTGGGTCGTGGCAGGGTTCAAGTTCCACTGGGTTCAGTGAAGCTCTCTTAACAACTACCCCGCCATCGCTGCAATCCCAATGGTTCCCCTAGTAACCAGCGATCAACAACTACCTCCAATCTCGGCAGGGTCCTCACCACAAGCAGCCATCTCCATGAACTATCTGCCGGTCAGAGAACCCTACCCACGACCACAGTCTTCTGGATCCCCGAGCAAACATAAACACCTCTGCCCTCAGCACTCAGAGCCCAGGAAGGGGGAACCTAGCAACAGTCTGACGTGAAACCCACCAGGAAAAGCAGCCCTGGCAGCAGCTAGGCCCCTCCAGAGAACACCGTCTGACACACCCAAGCCTGATGAAACTAAACGGAGGCTGCTTTTCGGGGTGGCAGTTTCTCGGAAGAGGACCCGACCGTCCGCGGAGCGCCTCGGGGATCCAGCAAACCACACTCCCCAGGACGCACCGCGAAGGGAGCGCGTGAGGTCGCGCCCAGGGCGTCCGTAGTTCTCCGAGTCCAACTTTCCCGACCGCACCGTGCGCCTGCCGCCTGTGGAGAACTACGCGCCCCGGCGTGCCCCGCAACCGGAAGGAAGGAGCCAGGGGATGCCGGTTCGCTGGGGTGCGCTCTAGTACTCGCGATGGTTGGCTCCGCCTCTTCTCTCTAATCTACAGGATCATAGACCGGGAGCTGGGGAGGAGGACGCGGTTTCACGCGAGCCTGGGCGGAACTGAGGGGGACGAAGGAGGCGGAAGCGGCGGTCCGTGGGGCGGGGAAGGGGCTGGCCCCGGAAGGAGGAGGAAACCCTGAAAAGAAAACAGCAACAAGCTGAGCGGCTGTGCCAGAGGGAAACAAAATGGCGGCGCCGAGAGGGAGCCTCTGGGTCAGGGCCCAGCTGGGGCTCCCGCCGCTGCTGCTGCTGACCGTGGCCCTGGCCGGAGGCTCCGGGACCGCTTCGGCCGAGGCGTTCGACTCAGTCTTGGGTGATACGGCGTCTTGCCACCGGGCCTGTCAGTTAACCTACCCCTTGCACACCTACCCCAAGGTAGGGCCCGTCCGAACCGGGCGACAATCCTTCCCTGGCCGCTCATCTTTCCGCCCTCCCGCACCGCTGTCGGCTGTGGGAACCTGCTGTTGAACCCACCATTCATCCGCTGTCTGCCACCTGAGTGGCTCTGTTCTCCCCAATCCCACCCGCACCCCGCTCCCGTGTAATCACCGGAAGTTTGTGCTGCACCTACCCTGTAATGGGCTGGGGACACCAGGATGAAAAGATGGGAGCCCGTTCCCCGGGGAGCTTGCGAGGCAGCAGTGCATTCCGAGCGGGAGGAGGGTGCGGGTTATCAGTGGGGGTCCTCACCCTCCAGGAGCCTACGGAACGGCGGGGGCGGGGGGCCGGAGCACATACGCGAGCCCACGAAGGTTTACCCCAGAGAACGTTTACTGTGCGCCTCCCCGGGCCTGGAGCGCACAGTCTGTCTGTTGCGGTGGTCGGACGCCTGGACGGCTCGGCCGTGGTATGAAATGTAGTAAGTCGGCCCGAAGAGTTGTGGGACGCACAGGCAGGGCTTTCCGCCGTGTTGGTTACTGTATGCAGGGCGCTGCCTCTGGGGACTGGGATGCTTAGAGAGCAGCAGCGAGACATGTTTGCATTGCAAGATTCACCATTCCGTGCGGAAGACAGGATTTGTGCAGGGAGCGAAGAAATGAGGCTGCCCCCAGGGGCTGAGGGCGTCACAGCTTACGGAGAGGAGTGACCCTACCTTCACTGCCTGTCCCCCGCAGGTGCCGCCTTTCCTTGAGTTCCATTCACTGCTCAAGTTGTTTTTTCAGTTTCTTGAGAACTCTGTTTACTCAGCATTCTAGATTTCGTGGCGACTCCCCCGCCCTTTCTCATCTATAATTTGGGTATATGCCTTCCTTAGCCTCCTGCTTTTATGTACAAGAGCTTTTGCTGATGTTACTGGTCATTTTTTCCTTGTTTTTCCTTCATCTCGCTGCTGTTTGCGTAACCGTGTGGCTAGCTAGCCCTTTTTGCTCTCTCAAACTAAGAAGTGACCACCAGGACAGTTCCAGTGAAGTTAGGATGTTCCTTATTGGCGAGTGTTTTCAGGTCTTTGAAGAGTTCTAAATGCTATCACAAGATGTGGGAGAGGGTATCAGCCTAAATTTTCAGTCAGAGACTAAAATAGCAAGGGGGAGAAATGAGAAATTCTTGACTTGCAGACTTATTCGGTGTATACTACCCCTAAATACATTATTTTCATCTCATAAACCTCTCATCTAAGAGGATTGTATGAGGAAACTCATTAATATTGATTTGGGCTACTTTGGCTTGGAGACTTATTTTGTATCATTGGACTGTTTGGTTCTGGATTTTATTTTTTAAGATGTTTTCCTAGCAAAATTGTAGTATGAACCAGAGAATAATTAATTCAAAAGGATAAACATTTCTAGAACTTTTAGGTATTTTTGTAATATTCACTACTTCCTTAAAATCTGTGTGATCTCTAAGCTATTTTTACTTTAAAGTTGTTCCCACCAGGAGCTCTAAATCATCTGGCTCCCTGTAAGTCCTGTACTTAAAATTGATTAACCGTCTGCCCTCTCTGTTAGCTAGTATGATGAGAGATTTATACTAGTCCTCTAATTCTCACAACCACCCTGCAAAGTAGGGTTTTACAATTGAGAAAATTGAGGCTCTGAAAGGTTAAGTTACTTGCCCCAGGTCACATAGCCAAGGACTAGTGAAGTAGTTGGAATTCCGACCTAAAACTAGCTAAACTTTGCTGCCTTCTATTAATAAAGTTGTATTTAAAATCATTAATTTAGCCCTGGCTGGTTTGGCTAAGCAGTTAGAGCATCAACCTGGAGACTAGAGTCTCGGGTTCAATTCCAGTCAAGGGCATGTGCCTCGGTTGTAGTTAGGGTTGTGGTCAGGGTCATGCGGAAGGCAACCAGTAAATGTGTCTCTTTCACGTGGATGTTTCTCTCTCCCTCTCTCCTTCCCCCACTCTCTCTCTCCCTCCCCTACTGTATCTGAAAATAAATAGAAAAAAAATATCCTTGGTGAGGATTTAAAAAATAATAATTTACTTATTTCACTAATTTCTGTTGGCCCTTTTCCCAATTATTGTGCTATGCAGTTCAGGAAAAAGTAGTGTGTTATATAATAAGTGAATTTAGATGAATTTACAAGCTCACGTAGCCTCTCTTGGCAGATAGAAATTTGTAGCTGGCAGATAGAAATCTTATTTTAATGACTAATTTTCAGAATTATTTGTTGTAAGAAAATAGAATACCTTAACTGTTTAAAAGTAATTATTTTAAAATTACTATATTTTACTCTTTAACTTTTCTCAAAAGTGCAATTGCATAATTTGCCTGGATCTGAATATAAGAGACTTAATTTTATGTTAATAACAAAGCTAACTAGATCCAGCCTGGTCATATTTTTTACAAAGCGTGGGCTCTGGAACCCTACAAACCTGGGTTCCATCCACAGCTCCACTTTTACTATCTGTGTGTCTTTGCTGATTACTTCATTTCTCCTGATTTTATTTTGTCAGCTGTAGAAAAAATTTTTCACACCCTACAGAGCAAGTGTGAGGATTAAAGATAATATATGTGGCATTCTCAGCACATTGCCTAGCACATGTCAGTAGTCATTCTATGTCATGAAACCAGTTGGTACGTATAGTATTAGTAGTGCTTAATAATGAGAGAATAGTTAGCATGACTGAGCTCAGGATATGAAAATGCATATAAAATCTATAAATGGTTTGTCAGTCTGAACCATATTCCTTTCTATGTCTCTGGGTCTGTTTTGCTCATCAGCTTATTTTGTTCATTATATTCCACAAATAAGTGAGATCATGTGGTATTTGTCTTTCTCTGATTGGCTTATTTCACTTAGCATAATACTCTCCAGATCCCTCCATGTCAGACTGACAAACCTCAGAGAAGTGGGGTGGGGGGCGAGGATGGATGAGATAAACCAAAGAACTTATGTGCATGTATGCATAACCAATGGACATAGACAACAATGCTGGGGGATTGGAGGGGCAGGATGAGGAGGAGAGTGTCTGGGGGGGAAAGGGAGAAACATCTGTTACAAAAATAAATTAATAAAAATTGGGGGGGGTCTATAAATGGTATCATTGAGATTCCTTGTAATTATTTAGCTGGTATTTTGTTTGGTGGGGGCCATTTTCTTGTGCTCTAAATCAGACGAGATATATTTTATAAGAGCTTGCCAGTCATTTGGGATACATGGAGCATGAATTATTTACTTGGGGAAATAATATCTAGAACATGAAACATGTACTTGGAATAAGGATATGATTCTTCATAACTACATATTTAGTGCCTACTCTGTGCCAAATGTTGTGTCAGATGTTAAGTGTTAGTGTGGTTCCTGGCACATTGTGGATGCTCATTAAATATTAATGTTGCATCTATTTATTAGATAGTATAGCACAATATTAATGATATTATGAATATAAAATGTATAATCCTCATATTCAAGATTGACATAAGTTCTCCCTGTTTTACAACTAAGGAAACTGGGGCTGAGAAAGAGTAAATTACTTGGCCCAAGACTGTACAAAGTAAATGGTGAGGCTGAGCTTCATACCTAGACCCTTTTCACTATGCCATAAATATTATATTCTCTTCTGAAAATGGTATGGAGCCCGGCTGGAGTGGTTCAGTTGGTTGAATGTTGCACAGAAAGGTTGCCAGTTCAATTCCCAGTCAGGGCGCATACCTGGGTTGGGGGTTCAGTTCCCGATTGGGGCACATATGGAAGGCAATCAATCAGTGTTTCTCTCTCACATGGATGATTCTCTCTCCCCCCCCCCCTACTCTTTCTCTTTCTCTCTTTCTCTCTTCCTTCCTCTCTCTAAGCATGTCCTCAGGTGAGGATTTTTTTAAATGGTACTGAAGGGCTTATTGGGTTGGTTTAACAGAAGAACACATATCTGAAAATGAAATGGCATTCAGTAAAGCTCATACTAATGAGCTCATGCTTCCTCTGTGCAATATGAGGAAATATGTGGTGCTCCAAAGGCATGAGAATTCTATCATTGTTGTACAAAGTCTGCAAAAGCTACTCAGGTATGAAATTTATTTTAATTGCTAACATTCTTTCAATTTCACCTTAACAATAATGTAACTAGAACTGAGATTCAAAAATATGCTACCTTCAAAGCTGTATAATAAAGCTTGCTTAATATTAGACTGCAGCTATCTCTTCCTAATGGATTGCTGCTGCTAAATTTTACTAATCCTCTGCTGGAAAGAAATGCATACCTTTGTACCCATTGGTTGCTAACTGGTATATGCACATGCTGTTTCCTTCCTTATTAGATCCTGCCAATTTGTACACAGTGGGTCACATAGTAAGTTGAGGGGGCTCCCCAACATGTACTGGTTTGTTTCAAATACTGTATGTATTATATTGAAGGAAAGCCTGTTCAAGACATTGTCATTAGTCTTACTAAGCAGGTAACATTTTCCAGTAATGCAGCATATATACTGTCTTGAACTCATTCACATATACAATGATGCCTATAACTATTGTTTTCTACTTTAAAACCCTATTATTATTATTAACACTACTGCCATTTATTGAACACCTTCTATGTTCCAGGCACTGTGCTAGGAATAGCTATCTACAACATTATTGAGGGGGTTAGAGATCATTTATAGTTATTATCTCCTTTTATGATGAAAAAAACTGAGGTTTAGATAGGTAAAGTAACTTGTGCTAGGTCACTTATCTAAAAGGTTTTAATCCAGGTCTGGCTAATTCCATTGGCTTTTCCCATATGGCACACTGTTGCTTTTGTTTGTGTTTTTAGTAAACAAGCCACGTTTTAAAAATCCTTTCATGTAAGCATTTTTATAGATGTAAATCACAGTTTGTGGGGGCCTTTATGGCACTATTTGCCATGTGAAGTTAATCATGATACTTTTCCTGATAAGCTTGATGGTTTGTATAAATATTTGTGTAGCAGAAGTATGCTATTGCTCCTAATGTACTTGCTTATTCATTTCTATCTCTGTTAAAGTTTTGATTTTGTCATTGTTATTTTCATTTTCAATATTTTCCCCCATGAGATCTGGGAAAAGAGTGATTTTACCCACTAGACTTCTTTCTTTGATATCACTTTATAAACAGGAAACTAAAACCTCTTTATATGGCAAAGGTCTTGGATATTACCTGGCTCCTATCATTTTTCTTTCAGTTATAAATTTTTTTTTATTGGACAGTTTATAATAAATGCTACTAACTTTGCTTTCTTTTGACCTTTTTTTCCCTGAGGAAAATATACTATTTTTTTATAATCCTCCCTGTTCTTTCCCCAGGAAGAGGAGTTGTACGCATGTCAGAGAGGTTGCAGGCTATTTTCAATTTGTCAGTTTGTGGATGATGGAACTGATTTAAATCGGACCAAATTGGAATGTGAATCTGGTAAGATGCTATGCTAATGACATTAGCACTATAGAACATTGATGTTTTCTCTGAGTTGTGTTATATTTTTAATGTATTTTTAATGTATTAATGACAAGCATAATTTTAAACTAGTTATTCAGCATATTTTAATTATTTTGAAGTTGGAGTGTTAGTAGCTGCTGCTAGAAATTTTATGGTATTTAAATTTAATCTATTTGTTGAGACAATGTTTATTTTGTACTGTGTGGCTAGGACACCTTTGTTTAAGCTAGTATTTAGTTTAGACAAATGCAGTAGTAATTAGCCTTCTCATAATTCATCACTACCTTTTCAAGGGATAGTATAATTTTCCTAAGCCTTTCAATCATTGGCTAGTTGGCTTAACTCCAAGTTTTTTTTTTATTGAATCAGGCCTTTGACTCAGTATTTAATAGTGTATTCTTTTGTGGGTCATGCCAATAAAAGAAGTAACCAGAGTCCTTGTCATCTCTTAAACCACTATTCTTACCTTTTGCTGAAAGAGCGAAATGTGTTTAATAAAAGAAACCTGTAATCAGGACAAAATTGACATTTAACTTTTTAAAGAACTATAATGGAATTTTTTCCATTCATTACATTACACTGTTTATCCAGTGTAGCAGGAGGTGTCTTAGTCCCTATCATTATGCCATGACTAACATTCAGCCTCTGTGATATCATAACCCTATTTTTTTATGGCTCAGTCTCAATTGGCCATCTTTCTACGTGCATAGTGCTGTTCAGTTTATTGTCCAGCATCTTTGAGAAGTATATTACAAATACATGGCTGGGTTGGAAAGGAAAATAAGATTGGTATAGTGGTGAAGTGTTCTGTGATAAGAAAGAAATGTCTCTGGTGAACTAAAAGAAGAGAGTGTATCTGGTAGAGACCCATTTCAACTTTAGAATCCTGCTGTAGGACATTTTTAAGTTCCCTTTTCTTATACTTTACGGTGTTAGACTAATTGCTTTGTTTTATTTTTCCTTGCCATGTAAATATCCTTGTTTCACAACTAAGTGATCCAGTTTTGAACAGTAATATCATACATTTGTATAAATCACTAAAATATATCATTTTGTTCAACCCCATGAAGTAAGTGGTTGTTTTTCCAGTTTAGACATACGGAATTCAGTAGTCAGAGAGGTTAAACCGTCAGCCCAGGTCACATATACAGCCAACAAATGATGGAGCCAAAACTTGAGGTTGTCTGTTCATTGAGGTTACCTGTTCAATGTTTTATCCATTGTGCAAACCTTAGCTGTGAGGCTCTCCTCTTATGAATGTCAATATAGAGCCAGAGACTGAGTATATAATTAATAGATTTATACGTGGAACAGTTGACTTGTGGGAGATAAAATAGGGGTTTTATTAAAATAATGCAATTTGCTGCTACTGCCAAATTTGGAAATTCATATGATGAAATGTTTTTTAGTATGATAAATTTCTTCATAAAATGCCAAATCCCTGTGTTATCTTTCCTCCTTTTCTTTCTCTCTCTTTCTTGTAATTTGACTGTTTTTCTCTTACAGCTTGTACAGAAGCATATTCCCAATCTGATGAGCAATATGCTTGCCATCTTGGTTGCCAGAATCAGCTGCCATTTGCTGAACTAAGACAAGAACAAGTACGAGACAACGAAACTGCCTTTCAAAATTGCCTGCTTAGATTGCACTCACTTGTACTGAAACATTTATCACCCACTTGATCCTATATTTGTGTTATATTTTAAACCAGTTTTCAACAAATGTTTGCACATAGAAAAATCAATTATATTTTTGTATAATCCTTTACTGTTAAAAGGTATATTCACATATATAATCTCCTTTTGTTTTTTCTCTTGGTTTAGTGAAGATATTATCCTCTTTTACATATGAAAAAAGTGAGGCTGAGGGAAATTGATAGTTCAGAGTCTTTTTTTTTTTATCCCAATTGCAATTACCTTAACTCAGACCATCATCATTTCTCATCTGCATTGCTAAATTAACTTCCAAACTATTTTCTCACTGTAACCCTCTGTAGTTTATCTTTTACTCTGTGTCCAGATATTTATTTTCTAAATGGAAAGCTCATCATGTCATACTCCTATCTTATATAATTCCATTGCTCCCCATTACATACAGGTTTAAATCCAAACCACTTATCACAGCCTGACTCCTGATTACCTCTTCTATGTCATCTGTTATAATTTTCTGACCTTCATACTCTATACTCCATGCATACTGGGGAAAAAAAACTTAATTGTATTAACTTTTGCATAGAAAATACAGCCACATGATACAAAATTCAAAAGGTATAAAGAATAAATAATGAAAAGTCTTCTACCCCTGTATCTATTTTCCTCCGTTAAAGTAGGCAGAGCTACTAATACAGATATATTTTATGCATATACAAGGATACAGACATTCTTTTTTTAAATTAAAGGATATATAATGAATGTCTACTCTTTTTTTTTCACTACATAATATTCTATTGTATGGATGTGTCATTTAAGCATTCCCTTATTTGTGGATATGTAAGTTGTTTATAGTCTTTCATTTAAAAATGATATTGCGTATTTTGCACATTTATGAGTCAGAGTTGGAGGGGAGATGATATCAGTTAGTGTTAAATCTTGATCAGTAGCTTACTGTGTGTGTGTGTATATATATTTTTAGCCCATACATTCTTCTCTCACCCCCTGCCCTGTTATCAGATGTCTCACATTTTATGCATATATTTTTGGGGGGTTTTTTCCTTCCTCTTTTCCATTGATGTTCATTATGGCATGATTTATTTTGCTTGAAAGCATTAAAGATGAGAATGGTGTGATTTATCCCTTTCCCTTCTACCTCTTGAGGCCTTGTTAGGCCTTATTTAATAAAATCTTAAGATTCTCCATATTTTTGTATCTGATTCAAAAGCCTTTTATTCTGACACAGATGACAGGTAGCTTATAAATACGTTTGGTAGAAATTAAAGGGATTTTCAAATTTACCATAGACAATTTGCATAGATAACTAAGAGTTTACTTGAATACTAAGTATTGTTACTGATTCACTTAATTCTTTATACCCTGTCCTAATAAGGATTTGGAGAATCTTGATTATGTTGCTCTCTTGAATATGCATATATAAGAAATAATATATTTATCATGACTTCATTTTTTTTTTTTAAAGCTCATGTCCCTGATGCCAAAAATGCATCTACTCTTCCCTCTAACTCTGGTAAGGTCATTCTGGAGTGACATGATGGACTCTGCACAGAGCTTCATAACCTCTTCATGGACTTTTTATCTTCAAGCTGATGATGGAAAACTAGTTATATTCCAGGTGACAACTGTGCTTCATATATTCATCTAAATATTAACAGCAATAAATGTATGCCTTAAATGAATGTCTTAGCATAGAGCCATGTCACTTATATATATTTATTATCAAATAATAATTACTATTTTGCATAATGAAAACATTGGGCATCACAATACAATGTGACTTGCCCTTCCATCTGCCCATTGAAAGCCCATCAGTCCTTATCTAACAAGAACTCTGAATCTTCTGAAATTTATAGTGGTTAAATTGATAAAATAAAACCTCTGGCTGTGGGAGATAAGAATAATTAAAATAATTTGAATGTAAATAGTGGTATGTATTTATATCATATATGGATAGTAGAGAAAAGCAATATGATGTAATTTTTAATTGTTTTTAGTACTTTTCTTCATAAGTTATAAGAGAGTTTGTTGAAGAAGAAGCATATTGCCTCCTAGAGAGGTAACTTTTCTCCTATATCATTATTTACCATGTGATATGATAATAACAGTAGCTATTTTTTTAAGGTTCTTCTGTACTAAGGATTTACGTATTTTATCTCAAATCCTCAGACAACTTCATATGGTTGTATTATCCCTATTTCATTGATGAGGAAACTGAGAATCTAACTTATTTAACATCACCCTGCCAGTGAGTAACAAAAATAGGCTTCGGACTCAAGTCACTTTAGCTCCCAAGGTTCATATACTACCCTACCACACAGACTTTCTTTTAATTCCATAGTTAAATTTCTTAAATTTAATTTTTTTAATCTTCACTTGAGGATATGTTTTTGTGGATTTTTTTTTGTTGAGAGAGAGAGAGAAACATTGATGTGAGAGAGAAACAATGATCAGTTGCCTCCCATACACGCCCTGACTGGAAATCAAACCCGTGATCTTTTGATGTACAGGATGATGCTCCAACCCACTGAGCCACCTGTCCAGGGCAAATTCCTTAAATTAACCAGCCCACAAATTAAATTTTAGTACCATGTTTCAGGTAATAATTAAAGTGAACCTTTAATTATTATTACTAAGTGACTGGCTTACTTTAAGGCTAGTATGTGATTTTTAGCACTGTCCTGAGCCTTAGGTCTCTAATAAGTAAAACACAGAAGGAATTTTCTCTCTTTAAATTCATAAATAAGTTTGCCCTGGCTGCTTTGGCTCAGTGGTTAGAGTGTTGGCCCATGGACCAAAGAGTTGCAGGTTCAATTCCCGTCAAGGGCACGTACCTCGGTTGTGGGAGGCAGCCAATCCATGTGAAGTTTCTCTCCCTCTCTCTCCCTCCCCACTCTATCTGACGATAAATGGAAAAATATCGTCAGGTGAGGATTTAAAAAAAAAAAAAAAATCTATGAATAATTTCTATGTCTTAGAACTACTTAAGGTAAAGCATAAGTTGACTCTTAGAGTAGAGCCCTCATTCATTCACGACTAGATGTGAGGTTAGCTCTGTTTTCCTCTTTGTGTCAACTTGAGTATCACTAGGGTGGAGAAACCCCCACTCCAGAGGATCAGCGCTATTTGTAAAGTATGGAGTATTTAGCCGTAATTTATGAATTACTCACACTTAGGGAAGAATGGAATGTTATAGTTGAGAAAAAAATAGAGATAATAATTGTTTAGTCAAAAATGTTGTCAGTCTGCTAAATTATTCCTGATCAACTAGAATTAGAACTCATTTTTGCAGGGTATGATATTTAATGCAGTATGCTATAATTTGTTCTCTTTTCTATTTTTTTTTTTAATGTTGTCAAGAAGTTAAACTAAATACTTGATGATGCCAGAAATCTGTCTGTTTCTTTGCAAGGCACTGGATCTGATGTTTAGGAAGTGCAATTAAAATATATTGTGGTTAATATGTTTTATTTTTTTATACTACTGTTACTTTTTCTCAATTTGAATGATTATAGAGATGATGTGTTACAGAACTTCCTACTGAGTAAAGCTTAAGGAGTACAAATGACTTAATTGTTTTCATTATTTTAGTCTAAGCCAGAAATCCAGTATGCACCGCAGTTGGAGCAGGAGCCTACAAATTTGAAAGAATCCTCTCTAAGCAAAATGTCATGTAAGTTTTATTTTAAGGAGCTTGGGATAAAAACATTAGCGGTCAAATCTGGTTGTGATAGAATTGATTGTGTGATTGTTTTTATACTAATAGAAGATGAACAAATAATTTCTAAAACAGTGGCTATCAAACTTGAATGTGCATTGGGATCTGAAGAGCTTGTTAAAACAGATTTTTGAGCCCCATCTTCAAAGTTTCCTATTGTTTAGATAGGGACAGGACCTGACAATTTGCATTTCTAACAAGTTCCCAGATTTTGCTGATGCTGCTGGTCTGGGGATTGCACTTTGAGAACCACTATTCCAAAACCATTTAGTTTGCTTTGAAGGGTGTTATGAGTATAAACTAAAGAAATATTCTGATACATCCCAGCAAACTAACCAAATAGTTAAACCCCCTGAAAGTATGAGTTTCTATTCTATTTTTAAGAATTGAATTTTGCCCTGGCCAGTTTGGCTCAGCAGTTAGAGCGTTGGCCTGTGGTCCAGAGAGACCCAGGTTCAGTTCCTGCTAAGGTCATGTACCATGTACCTCGGTTGCAGTTTGTCCCCGGCCCTGGTTGGTTTGTGTGGGTGACAACCACTCCATGTGTCCCTTTCACATCGATGTTTCTCTCTCTCTCTCTCTGTTCCTCTTTCTTCCTCCTGCTCTGTCTGAACAAAAAATGGAAAAGTGTCCTCGGGTGAGGATAAAATAAAAAATAAAAATAAATTTAAAAAATAAGTGAATTTTAACTCATGGGAATATAAAACATCAAGCTAAAGCTGAGCTTACCTTTTATTTTTTTAAATCTATTTATTTTTTATCCTCACCCGAGGACATTTTTCAGTATTTTGTTCAGATAGAGTGGGAGGGAGGGAGAGAGAGAGAAACATCTACGTGAAAGGGACACATCGAGTGGTTGCCACCCACACGATCCAACCAGGGCCGGGGACAAACTGCGACTGAGGTATGTGCCCTTAGTGGGAACCAAATCCTGGTCTCTCTGGACCGCAGGCCAACGCTCTAACCGCTGAGCCAAACCTTCCAGGGCTGAGCTTACCTTTTAAAATGTACTAGCTCATACCTTATTTTAGATGCTGATTTGATTAACTTTCTCACTCTTTTGCTGGGTGGATAATGCCATCTTTAATTTTACATTATAATAAACCAAATTCTGTTACTCAAACCCACATGTAATTAAACTGAAAGCTTCAATGTCCATGAGAATTTGGAAATAAAATAAGAAATCCATAATGTAGTAGAATATCCATTTGTTTTTTAATGTGCCATGGGAACTTACATTCATTATTAAATGTATCAGATTATACTTATAAAAACAACGGGATATCTGTAAAGTATCGATATAGAGTAGTCATTTGAGACTATCTTTTGGAGGATAGGATATCATAAACATGTACCTCGTTATTTCAGCAGATCTACAACTGAGAGGTTCACAAGCACACAGGAACTATCTCGAAGATGGAGAAAGTGATGGATTTTTAAGATGCCTCTCTCTGTATGTATTACTCTTTATTAATGGGCATAGGAGACAAAATCTGGCTTATATCAGAGAGTTACATTCCTTTTTATTATTTTAAAATTTTATTAGCTGTTCAAAAGTAAAAAAAAAATGTTGCCCTGGCCGGTTTGGCTCAGCGGTTAGAGCGTCGGCCTGCGGTCCGGAGAGACCCGGGTTCGGTTCCCGCTAAGGGCACGTACTTCGGTTGCAGTTTGTCCCCGGCCCTGGTTGGTCGTGCGGGTGGCAGCCACTCGATGTGTCCCTTTCACGTCGATGTTTCTCTCTCTCTCTCCCTCCCACTCTATCTGTACAAAGGTGTCCTCGGGTGAGGATAAAAAAAAAAAAAAAAAAATGTTTACCTTTTTCATACCAAACTTGCATTTTGGGTATTTTACTCTGTTTAAAAGGTAATATGCAGCCCGGCCAGTGTGGCTCACAGGTTGAGCATCGACCTATGCACCAAGAGTTCGCCAGTTCCATTCCCAGTCAGGGCACGTGTCCAGGTTGTGGGCCAAATTTATAGTGGGGGACATGCAGGAGGTGGCTAATCGATGTTCTCTCTTACTGATGTTTCTGTCTCTCCCTCTCTCTTCCTCTCTCTAAAATAATAAAGAAAAAAAGTAATATGCAGCCCTGGCCAGTGTGGCTCAGTTGGTGGAGTGTTGTGCCAGGCACCAAAGGATCACAGCTTTGATTCCCAATCCCAGCACATGCCTAGGTTTCGGGTTTGGTCCCGGTTGGGCTATGTGCTGGAGGTAGCTAGTCAATGTTTCTCTCTCACATAGATGTTTCTCTCTCTCTCTCTCCCCCTCCCTCCCTTTCCTTGTCTTTCTTCCTCTCTCTGAAATCAATAAACATATCCTTGGGTGAGGATTTAAAAATAAATAAAGGTAATATGCATACTTTCTTTTTGTTAATCCTCACCCAAAGATATTTTTTCCATTGACTTTTAGAGAGAGAGGAGACCTCAGTTGGCTGCCTCCCACAAGAGCCTGAGTAATCACCTAATCTTTTTTTTTTCCCCCCCTTTATTAATTTTAGAGAGAGAGGAAGTGAGAGGGAGAGAGACAGAAACATTGATGAGAGAGAACATCAATCTGCCACCTCCTACATGTCCCGCACCAGGGATCAGGCCCAAAACCTGGGCATTTGTCCCAACCAGGAATTGAACCAGCAGCCTCTTGGTGCATGGGTCATCGCTCAACCACTGAGGCACACTGGCCAGACAGTAATCATCTAATCTTAAATTACAATATATTCTCAACACTTCCCTACCTGGCATCTTATTGGCAATTTATTGCTCTTTAACATTTTGTTACTACATTTTATATTCTTTTGAAATCTTTTTGTTGTTGTTACTCCTCACCAGAGGATATTTTTCCATTGATTTTCAGACAGAGTGGGAGGGAAGGAAAGAGAGAGAACATCGATGTGAGAGAGAAACATTCATTGGTTGCCTCCCACACAACCTTAACCAGGGCCGGAGATCAAACCTACAATCCAGGAATCAAACCCGAGACCCTTTTTTGGTCCATGGGCTGATGCTCTAACTGCTGAGCCAAACTGGCTGGTGCAAATCTAACATTTTAGAAGCAGTTTTTTAAGTGTTTAACTTAGGAAGCAATTAACTTTATAACTAGAGATTTGATTTTGTGACATTTATGTGCACAAACATGAATTATTATAATAGCATCTTACATTTTAATAAAAAGAATGATTTTTCTTAAATGTTTTTTCCCCTCAGTAATCTACTTTGACTCTTAGAACAGCGTACCCTATGATAAGTAGTTAGATCAGAGAGATGCATCAACAATTCCCAAGGTTATATATCTACTGTGTTAAAATTCAGACCTAGGTTTTCTAATCCTACATCTTCTACTCATTCTATTTTGCCATGGCTGTCTGCTTTTTAAAGAGTCATGATTTTTTCATGATTGTGTATAAGATCACCTAGCCGGTCAGTGAAATCTGGTCTTCTGACTCTTACTACAGTGCTTCTTTTTATTGTATCACATAGTTGTTATGAAGTTACCCTTGGACTCCAGAATGGAAATTGAGGTCACACTCATGTTTTCACTTGCCATTTCTTTTTGCAGTCTGTTATGTGCCAGGCACTGTGCTAGGGACTTGAGATCTAAGGAAAGATGTTCAGTCTCTGCCTTTATGGAGTTCTCAGGTCTAGTATGGTAGAGACAAACATGCAGACAGTGAACAACAAAATAATTATTGCTGCATATTATACATAACACACATATCTCTCATATAGAGTACAAGGAGTACTAAATCTATCAGAGGTTTCAAAGGGAGGATTTACAGAAATAGAAATATCTTAAATGATGAGTAGATTTTTGCTAGTTAGAGCACATTTGTTTAAGAGATTTGACCAAACCAGGTAGGCAGGAGCTAGATAGGAGCAAGAAAGTAATCTCTTTATTTATTTATTTTATTTTTAAGACTTTATTTTTTAGAGCAGTTTAAGATTCACAGCAAAATTGAAGGGAAAGCACAGAGATGTTCCATTAACCCCCCCCCCCCACTATCAACATCCCACCAGAGTGGTACATTTGTTACAGATGATGAACCTACATTGACCCATCATTATTACTCAAAGGCCATAGTTACATTAGGATTCATTCTTTATGTTTATTTACTTATTTTTAGAGAGAGAGAGATAGAAACATTGCTATGAGAGAGAAATGTCGTCGGCTGCCTCCTGCATGCCCCCTACTGGGGATCGAGCTTGCACACAGAGCTTGTGTCCTGACTGGGAATCAAGCCAGGACCTCTCAGTCCATGTGATGACGCTCAATCCACTGAGCCACACCGACCGGGCTAGGCTTCACTCCTGGTGTTATGCATTCTGGGGCTTTGGATACATGTATAATGACATGTATCTACCACCATAGAATCATACTGCCCTAAAAATCTTCTGTCCACCACCTATTCATCAATTCCTTCCCTCTATGCCTTGGAACTACTGATCTTTTTACTGTCTCAATAGTTTTGCCCTTTCCAGAATGTCATATTGGGATCCTGCAGTAGGTAGCATTTTCAGATTGGCTTCTTTCACTTACCAATATACATTTGGGTTCTTCCATGTCTTTTCATGATGTGATAGCTCATTTCTTTTTAGCACTGAATAAATATTCTGTTGTCTGGAGGTACCACAGTTTATTCATTTACATACTAAAGAACATCTTAGTTGCTTCCAGGTTTTGGCAATTATGAATAAAACTACTATAAACATCCATGTGTGGGTTTTGTCTGGACATAGATTTCAACTCCTTTGTATAAATAACAAGAAATGTGATTGCTGGGTTATATAGTAAAAGTGTATTTAGTTTTGTAAGAAACTTCCAAACTCTCTTTCAAAGTGGCAGCTCCATTTTGCATTCCCACCAATCATGAATGAGAGTTCCTATTGCTCCACATCCCCATCAGCATTTGGTGGTGTCTATGTTCAAACTTTGGCCATTTTTATAAGTGTATAGAATCTCATTGTTTTAATTTTCTGTTCCATGTTGAGGAAAGTAATCATTTTTATTATCAGGAAGAGGCCACTGTGAAGAATAGAGGATCATGTTAAAGAGCTTGGGTAAATCAGGCAGGAAATTAAGAGATCTGAACTAGGGCAGTAGATAAGGAGAATAGGAGATGATGGAGATAATTGAGGATTTTACAGGATTATTTTATTGTAGAGGTTGAAGAAGTGGATTGACTTTATAAAATGAATCGTGGTTTTCTGGCTTAACTAGTTGTGACTGGAATCCAGATATCAAATGTATCCTTCTTTCTCATGTCATGGAAGGGAATTCCTTATACTAGGTTAGGGCTGGAATATGTAAAACAGGTATTTTTTTCATTAGAAAACATTTATTACTCTGTTATCTTTTTTTTTTTTTTTTTTTGTTCAGATAGAGGTGGGGGGGGGGGGGAGAAACATCGATGTGAAAGGGACACACCGAGTGGCTGCCACCCACACAACCAACCAGGGCCGGGGACAAACCGCAACCGAGGTACGTGCCCCCAGCGGGAACCGAACCCGGGTCTCTCTGGACCGCAGGCCGACGCTCTAACCGCTGAGCCAAACCGGCCAGGGCTATCTTTCTAAATTGTAATACTTAAAGCATCATGTAGGAACTTCCTTTTTTTTTTAGATACAATGCATTTTCCAAAGTCTACCTCTTGCTAAGAGACAAACAGTGACAGCATGCTTTTTCCTTAGCATGTTCAAGTGTTGGCAAACTATCAAGTTAATGGGTTATGGTGGTAACTTAAGATCTTTTATTAGGCAGTGTTGGAGGAGCATGGATGTGAAAATTATACTACCTAGTCCAATTAGACTATCTAATTACATAGCTTTTCAGAATTAGATTCCTAAATATTTTTAAAAAGCTTGCCTTATTCCTGTTCTCAGGATCTTAATCTATAGTTTGGCAAACAATAGGTCAATTATAGAAAAAGCTTTAGTTGCTGATTCTTATAACTGGCTTTCTACATTAAGATATTTTGAAAGATGTTTTTATTGATTTTTTTTTAGAGAGAGAGAGAAACATCAATGTGAGAAAGAAACATGGATTGGCTGCTTCCTGCATGCCCCCTACTGGGGATCAAGCCTGCAAGCCAGGCATGTGCCCTAACCTCTGTAATCGAAACGAGACTTCTCAGTCCATGGGACAATGCTCAATCCACTGAGCCTCACTGGCCAGGCTACATTAGATATTTTAATAAGCCCGGCTGGTGTAGCTCAGTGGTTGAGCACTGACTCATGCACAAAGAAGTTCCCAGTTCAATTTCTAGTCAGGGCACATGCCCAGGTTGTGGGCTTGGTCCCTTGTAGGGAGAATGCAGGAGGCACCCGATCGATGTTTCTTTTTTTTTTTTATTGTCACTCGAGGACATTTTTTTTAATATATATTTTGCTCAGATAGAGTGGGAGGAAGAGAGAAAGAGAGAGAAACATCGACGTGAAAGGGACACATCGAGTGGCTGCCACCCGCACGACCAACCAGGGCCGGGGACAAACTGCAACCGAGGTACATGCCCTTAGCGGGAACCGAACCCGGCTCTCAGGACCGCAGGCCAATGCTCTAACCACTGAGCAAAACCGGCCAGGGCCGATTGATGTTTCTATCTCCCTCTCCCTTCTCTCTCTCTAAAATCAATAAAACATTTTTTAAAAGATTATAATCATAAGAAACATGTAACTGTCTTTACTAAGATATGCTGTAATGGATACAGAATATCCATAATAGAAGTATTTTTGTAAATTAAACTAAGTAAATGATGGCAGATTAAATATTTGAAATGTTCTAGAGAAGCTATCTTTAGTAAGCCTGTTGTGAGTCCCTTTATAAAACAAATAATCATTTCATAATTTACCTATTCTATACCTTAACTCTAGGATATTGGGTTTTCTTAAAGCAAGTATCATTGTAATACCTTGCAAAATAATATATATGACGTTTTTATAGCAATGTATAATTTATAGGACACTTTCATTTGCTTTATTGAATTTAGAAATTTTTTAAAAATTATTAATCGCCCTTAGCAGTAATTTGCTTTAATTTTATACATTTAACAAAAAGCTGGTATCTCTGACTTTTTAAATTACAAAAATGATGCAGCCATGTTACAGAAACTTGAGAAATGGAGGGAAGGGCTTCATACCACCCTAAAATACCTGCTATAATATTTCCTTCTCTGCATATGTTTTTTAAAATAGTTTTAAAGGTAGTAATCATAAATTTTTAATTATTAAACTAAGTATATATGGTTGGTTGTTTTTAATTATTAAGAGTCTCCTATTATGAAATTTTAATGTGACTAATTATTGATTTTTTTTTTTTTTTCAGTAACTCTGGGTGGATTTTAACCACAACTCTTGTCCTCTCGGTGATGGTATTGCTCTGGATTTGTTGTGCAACTGTTGCTACAGCTGTGGAGCAGTATGTTCCCTCTGAGGTAAATTTAATTCTAATACCTACGCCATGTGAAGAGTGAGCCATATGATTAATCATTTTTTTAACTAGTAAAACAGAGTCTCTCTACTAATAGAATAAGAGAAGATTTGGTGGTTTCCATCACACACCTGAGGGTTGGCACACATGAAAATTACAGTTTGCCACACAAGAATCACTGTTTCAGTTTTCTGCAAAACTAACTACCATAGTTACATACATGTTGGCTGGTTTGAATAAAGTGTTTCTCTCCCTGGTTCTTTGAGACTGAAAAGAACCTGTTGATTTTGGTTTCTAAAGTAATATTTAAGAAAGAAGACTTGTAGAACCACTAAAAATTTTAAATTACCACAAATTTTAAAGAGTAATTGCTGCTTTAGAAGCAGCAAAGCTAGAGTGTTTGATTTTGAGTTCATTTGTTCTGGTACCTAACCCTGAAAGAGATGCAAAACTATCGTGACTTCTTGGTAATTAAAATTTTACCCAAGAGCCCTGGCCGGTTTGGCTCAGCGGTAGAGCGTCAGCCTGCGGTCCAGAGAGACCCGGGTTCGGTTCTTGCTAAGGGCGTGTACATCGGTTGCAGTTTGTCCCCGGCCCTGGTTGGGTTGTGTGGGTGGCAACCACTTGATGTGTCCCTTTCATGTCGATGTTTCTCTCTCTCTCCCTCCTTTCCCACTCTATCTGAACAAAAACTGGAAAAAATGTCCTCGGGTGAGGATAAGAAAAAAATTTAACCCAAGAAACGTAACTTTTAAGGTAAAGGAGTTTTGTTTTGGAAAAGTCTATAATTTGATTATTCATTTTGGCTTTCAAGGAAAGAAAATTATTTATATAACTAAATATGGGATAGTAATATCAATAGAAAAAGAGTGCAATAGAAAAAGAGTGAAAAGAAGAAAGGGAAGTTAAAGTAGAATTTAATAATAAGTAGTTGGCATGTGCCTAGCATGGTTCTTGACAATCTTTTTCTTATCCTCACTCGAGGACATTTCTGCATTTATCTTCAGATAGGGTGGTCTGCCGGCCAATGCTCTAACTGCTGAGCCAAACTGGCCAGGGCAGTTCTTGAACAATCTTATTTTAATAGACTATAACGATATGTTTTTTTGTGTGTTTTTTTTATCCTCACCCGCGGACATTTTTTTTCCATTTTTTTGTTCTGATAGAGTGGGAGGGAGAGAGAGAGAGAGAAACATCGATGTGAAAGGAACACATCGAGTGGTTGCCACCCACACGACCCAACCAGGGCTGGGGACAAACTGCAACCGAGGCACGTGCCCTTAGCGGGAACCAAACCCAGGTTTCTCTGAACTGCAGGCCGATGCTCTATCCGCTGAGCAAAACCGGCCAGGGCACGATACGTTTTAATATAAGATTTATTCATGAATAATTAAGACAGAATTAGCCCGGCTGGTGTGGCTCAGTGGTTGAGTGTTGACCCATGCACCAAGAGGTCACCAGTTTGATTCCCGATCAGTGCACATGCCCAGGTTGTGAGCCTGATCCCCAGTGTGGAACATGCAAGAGGCAGCCAATCGATGTTCTCTCATCGATGTTTCCATCTCTCCCTACTTCTCCCTTCCTCTCTAAAATCAATAATGAAAACACTTTAAAAAAGATAACATATTTTATTTTTTAAGATGATATGTGATACATACCCTGGCCAGTTTGGCTCAGCGGTTAGAGCGTCAGTCCGTGGACCACTTACTGAGTCTCGGATTTGATTTCGGGCATGTACCTCAGTTGTGGTTTGTCAAATTCTCTGAGGAACGACTCACTTTTCCCACATATGCCCCCTAGACTCCTATGATCATCATAAAGTCTAAGGCATCAACATCCATGTAGAGTCCTGTTGGTGCCTTTTACATTCCCTACAAATATCTGCCTTATGGATGTTACTTTCTTGCCCCTTTTAGAACTCTTCTTTCTATCTTTAACATTAAAATTATGGCTATAACCTCAAAGAGCTTTTAGGCTTTACTTTGTATATGAAACCACACTTTGGCTAGGTATTAATGTTGTTTTTAACCATATATATATATATATATATATATATATATATATATATATATATATATATATATGTTGTTGTTAATCCTCACCCAAGGATATTTTTCCATTGATTTTTTAGAGAGAGTGGGAGGGAGGGAGAGAAAAACATCAATGTGAGAGAGACACATCGATTTGTTGCCTCCCACATGACCCCAACCGGGGCCAAGGATTGAATCTGAGACCCAGGTATTTGCCCTTGACTGGGGGGTTGAACCTGAGACCCTTCAGTCCACCAGCCAACGCTCTAACCGCTGAGCAAAACCATCCAGGGCTCAACCATATTTTTTATTATAAAAATAACTGTATACTTAGTGTAGAAATTTGTTAAGTATATATAAAGAAGCAGAAAAAGAAATCACTCATCCTATTATTCAGAGCGATTGTTGTATTGCCATTTGAGTGGATTTCTTTTCAGTATAAACAGTTTTTAATACATATTAAGGTTTTGTTTCTTGTTTTAAAATATTGCTGTAGAAGTACTCCTTTCCTGGTGTTTTCTTTGTTTACTGTAAAAATAACTGAGAACTTAACATTAGAAAGTTATTCCGATTTTCTTGGCCAAAAGCCACCTATTTTAAACTTTACTTTCTTCACAAAGCCTTTTCATTGATTTTCTTACTGGAACATAAGTTATTTTGACCCTCTCCATAGTAACATGAGACTCCATTTTAATTATACAAGTATAATTCATCTGTGAGTAGTGCTATTTAGATTGTGTTATGTTATTTATCTATATGATCCTGTATGCTTGTAGGAGATCATAAGCCTGCTGAGAATGTGTCTCTTAAGTACAGACCTGGAATCTTGAAGCTTAAACATGAAATATAAAAAGCTTCCCTTTTGGTCACTAGAAAGCTTAAAATGGTGTTAATGTATGGAATGTGGTCTTAAACACTTAAGAGCAGCTTTATTTTTCTTATTTAAGAAAGCTCTGAAACATTTTATTTTTAGTCTGCTTTGCATGTAGTTAGGTATTCATCATATATCATTTGATTGTATTGGCCAGAAAGAATTGGCAAAGAATTTCAATTCCTTGGTTGGTCTTAAGGCATGTCATTTTGAGTGACTTGATGTATAAAGATTTTTATCTTCTTTTCTCCACACTTTTTCCTCTGTTCTTTCACATTTGTGATGTTACTTTTGAAACTTAATGGAATGACACTTTCTTTTGTTGAGTTATCTATTTAAGATAGAGTTATCATTCATAGTGGTCCTTGTCAGACAGGTCAGGCAGCCTCAGAAATTTGCTATAGCAACAGATGTTGATATACATGCTGCCTCATTGTTATCTCTTTATATATATGCTGCCTTTTTCTTATTTGTCAAGACCATGATCATTTTATTTCATGTATTCTGTTTAAAAGGACATGAGAAGATTCCCAATCAACATTAATGTTAGTAAATCACATACATTTATGGATAACTTGTTATGTGCCAGGCCCTGGTCAAGGGATTAAAGATGCAGTGAAGAATAAGACAAAGATGGGACAAAATTTAAGGCTTCCAAGACTCAGGAAGTAGGGTGAAACATGTCTTAAACTATAATAAACATTATTTTCTTTGCCCAAAAAAAAAATAATAATAATCCAAGAATCTTGCCATTGCCATTTAGAAGCTTTAAGTCTCATAAAAGAGGCAATCAGAAAACAATATGAGTGCCACAACTTTTTAATCCAAATTCTGTTCAGAAACTGAGTTTTAGAAAAGATTTAAGTAATTTATCCAAGATTATATAACTGGTTAGTAGTAGAGCCAAGCCTAAAGCCCAAATACATATTTACTAATTAAATTAATTTTTTTAGCTTTTATAAGTAATATTTGTAACATAAATTAAATCTTCCTCTTCTTCACTTCTAAGATAAACCACAGCCAATAGTTTTTAAATTTTTTTCCAGTGGTTACCATTTTTAAATTTTATCTTCTCTTTTTGTTTGTTTGTTTTTTATCAGCTTTAAACATTATCTGATGTCTTCTACTGAAGAATAAGGAATCAATTAGTTCCTTACACTATCTCCCACCTCCACCATCTCTTCCCTTTCTTCCATGTTGATGTTCGAAATCATTCAAACAGTTCTTGGTTGCTATTTCAAGGTCATTAAATGTTGCTAGATAGAGTTTTGAAAGTTTTTCTTTCACAGTGCCCCACAGCAAATTATCACATGTTAATTCTGGTGGTTTTTTTTTTTAATCCTCACCCAAGGATATTTTTCTATTTATCTTCAGATAGAGTGGGAGGGAGGGAGAAATGTCCATGTGAGAGAGACAGAGACACATTGACTGGTTACCTCCCGCACGACTCTGACCAGAGCCAGGGACAAAACGCAACTAAGGTACGTGCCCTTGACCAGAATCGAACCTGCGACTTACTACTGGTCTGCAGGACAACGCTCTAACCTCTGAGCCAAACTGGCCAGGGCTAATTCTGGGTTTTAAGGAGGCCACACTATATCAGATCTATATCCAGTCTATCAGTCATTGAATCTGTCTGAAAGATACTCTCCTACTGGAAATATATAAGGTCCTGGGCCATCTCCTTATTGCAGGATAGTTATTGCCTTGAAACAGTAGTCAGCAAACCATGTCTGAAACACAAACAAGTAAGCAACTATCACGACAATCACTTTTAGAATATTTTTACCACCCCAAAAAGAAAACTCGTACTCATTAGTAGTCGCTCCTCATTTCTTCCCAAGCACCACCAGCACCCCAATCATAGATAACCAATACATGGTCTCTTGTGACTGGCCTTTTTCACTTAGCATGATGTTTTCAAGGTTCATCCATGTTATAGCATGTATCAATATTGATAGATATTAAAATCTTGAAAGTGCTATTTATTCGACATCGTCCAAATGCACCTTTCCAACTTAAGTACTTCTATTTGGTTCTTGCTCTATAATCAGTCACTTGTTATCTCAGTAAAGTCAGAATTTCAAGTTGTTTTTTTTTTTATCCTCACCCGAGGACATTTTTCCATTTTTTGTTCAGATAGAGTAGGAGGGAAAGAGAGGAAGAGAAAGAGAGAGAGAAACATCAACGTGAAAGGGACACATTGAGTGACTGCCTCCCACACAACGCAACCAGGGCCAGGGACAAACTGCAACTGAGATACGTGCCCTTAGCGGGAAATGAACCCAGGTCTCTGGACCACAGGCTGACGCTCTAACCATTGAGCAGCCGGCCAGGGCAGCACTTCAATTTTTAACTCATGATACAGAGATGTATTGCTGTAGGAGTTAACAACAAAATCTGTTCCATGTATTAGTAAATACTTTTCTCTTTGCTTTTCTGCCTTGACAAAATAGACCTGCATCTAAATAGACCTACTTTCAAAAGATATTAGACATTACCATTATACTCCAGCGAGTGTTAAGAGTTTTGCAGTGACTCTAGTTTTTGTTTTCATTGTTTTGTTTTACTTTCTTCTTGGATATGATAATAATTTAAGGGCTTTTATATATTTATGAAGACCTTTCTATCAGTGTTAAAATGTTCCATGTAAATTCTTTGTTTTCACAGTCTTTTATTTTATTTTTTCTTTATTGATTTTAGAGAGAGAGGAAGGGAAAGGGAGAGAAAGATAGAAACATCGATGAGAGAGAACATCGACTGGCCGTCTCCTGCACGCCCCCCACTGGGGATCAGGCCCACAGCCTGGGCATGTGCCCTGACTGGGAATGGAACTGGCGACCTCTTGGTGCATGGGTCGACACTCAACCACTGAGCCACACCAGCCGGGCTCTCAGAGCCTTTTACAATAGCACATATTTTCCAAATGTAGTAAGTTAAAACATTTAGTAGCAGAGAAACTTATTCCAAATCATTTGACAAGTTGGTCAGGGAGTTAAGATCTTAAAGGAAGTAATCACTTAAAGAATCAACCACCCCAAATCAGTGCTCTTGGTATGACCACTCTACATTTAAACCTGAGCAATTATTTTTGATACTTTATTGTTATGATTACTAGTATTTTAAGTTGGGACATGTGGAAAAGTTTTTTTGGCCATCACTGGCAATTGAATCACCTATCTGGAACACTTGAGTAAAAGCATTCTTCATTCTTAAGGACATGTGTAGAATTTTATTTTTTTACAAAATACCCATAGATAAAGTTTTTATTTGAAGACTTATTCAATGAGGTTTCTAATTACCCAAATTCTAATATGCATTGATTTTTTTTTTTGCAGAAGCTGAGTATCTATGGTGACTTGGAGTTTATGAATGAACAAAAGCTAAACAGATACCCAGCTTCTTCTCTTGTGATTGTCAGATCTAAAGCTGAAGATCACGAAGAAGCAGGACCTCTACCTACAAAAGTGAATCTTGCTCATTCAGAAATTTAAGCTTTTTTTTTTTTAAAGAAAAGTGTAATAGTTATCTAAATTTTGATTTCTCATAGAGCTTTTAAAATTGGTTTCATTGGATATAGGGCTTAAAAATCACTATAAAATGAAAATAAAGTTGCCCAAATCTGTGAAGACTATATTTGCTGTAACTTTCCCTGTGATTTTTTTTCTAGTAACTTAAGAGATGGATATTTGGGATTGTATTTTTATTTTAATATTTGTAGCTACTTTATTATTTGCGTTGTTGTTGTTTTTTTTCAGCCACATTCTATGAGCTGATCATTGTTTTTCTCCCACTTCACCACGATACTATCAATCACTTTAGTTAATAAGCTGAATATTCAGTAGGATATGATGCTTCTGCTCAGAAATGGCCCACAACCTGTCATTTGAAATTTAGCAGGAAATGCCCTTATACTACATTTTCCAGTTGTATTGAACTAAAATCATTAAAATTTTATTTGAATATTTATGTGCTGAAATTTGAGTTAATATACTCTGGATTTTCCAAATCTTTCCTCTTACCGCCTACCCAACCCACACAAAAATTATGAAATGTTCTATTTCTGCCTATTGCTGTATAATATATGATGATCATGAAACAAACTGAAGCAAAAATGATGTGGTCAGAAGTGCATTTTATGTTATTTGCACAGGCTATAGGTTTTTGTTGAGTGAGTCTTTCCAAGGAACTATTTTTCTCTGTTAGAAAGCATACCAAGTATAAGTTTAAAGGTATTTTCAGAGAAAACTTTTTATTGTGACAGTAAGAATTAGACTCTTATGGTGCAGAACTAAGTAGATTTCACCGGGCAAAAACTACTATTATCACTCCTTTACCTATAATAATACAGATTTAAAAATAAGAATAATATCAGGTAACATAGATACCAGAATCTTAACATGATTTGGTGTTGTTTTACCATGAAATGTTAAATAATTTTGCCAACCAATACTTCCCTTACATACAGGGCCATTGCCGGCAACTAAAATAGTGCTTTTGCCTAAAGACTGAGTCACACACTTACCATACAGCTTAGTCATCAACTTTCTCTGAGTCCAAAAAAAATCTTACAATTAACAACTAATCAAGTTGTTAACTGGTCACAATTAACATTGTGTCACAAAATACAGGTTTCCATTTTTAAAATAGTTTGTCTATATTTAGAAGGTAGAGAGTTAGGAGATATGTGAACACATCCAGAAATAGAAGAGTCGTTAAGCAGTCGTGCCTCCTTTTTTGTGACAAAACAGATACAGAACATAGGGATTGGATTGGAATATGCCTTTTAAAAAGCCTGGCTGTCTTATCTCCCACCCATGGTACATACTTAGTATCCGGTACAGGTTTAACTGAAATACTTGCACTGAAACAAACTGAAGGGAAATACACAAAATGCCGCACATTTGTAGGAGCTAGGAGCCAGTGCACCTGTTAGGAAAGCCCTCCCTTATAAAAGCAAAACAATAAAAGAAATATCTAGAGAAGAAGGAGCAACTGTATGATTGTCCTGTATTCTCTCACCTACCCTTGGTTTTGTTCTTTGCTTCCCTGCCCCTGAGATCTCCTTGTTTGTCTGGAAATTGATCCAAGTGCAGACAAGCTTGCCCCTTTTGTTTATGAGATAATGCATTCCTATAGGTGAAAGGAACTCAGTCATTCCTGGTGTTTAGTAGGCATTCAAATATTTGTGTCCTGCCCTCTTTTTATTTCAGCATGGTTAAACCAGACTGACATTTTCAAAAATAATTTTACTTTAAAAAAGAAAAAAAACTATCCTCCCCACCAAAAAATATATGTACATTGTAAAAAAAAAAAATGTTTGACTTGAAAATTCTAACCAAAGCAATAAAACTGACCCTCCAGGCCCCTTCTCCTAAAGCAGCTATTTTCAACTGGTATGCTACAAGAATTTATAAAACATGCAATATCTGACTATTTAATCAGGGGCACTGACCCCTTTTCCCTTAGATTGTCAAAAAGACAACAGCCCACACAATAGCCATCTGGTCTGAATGGATCAAAATTGTACCTATTTTTATGTGTGTCAGATTGGCAAAAATATATTCTTTGGAGTGCCTTAGAATTTTAGTAACTAGTTTATGTGTACCGTGAGGTGAAATAAAAGGTTGAAAATCGCTGTCCTAAAGTAACAGTTTAGCCCTTCTTGAACAGACCCAACTTCACTTGTTTCCATGAGACAGGTGTCATCTTTCCTACCACATAAATAGCATCTTGAGAAATTTATCTTGGTCTGAGGCAAAATCTGAAGGCCCTTGGGTCACTGGTTCAAACCTCAGACTCCCAAGGTCCTTGGTTCAGTGTAAGACATACTAATTCAGGCAATTATGTAGATGGTAGTAGTCATCATAATGAATGATGTAGGCCCAAGAGTCCCAGTTTTTTCACAAAACTTCATGGATACCTTTTATTTATGATCTTTTTTTTTTTGGTAAATAAATTTCCAGATCATCTAGTCTATTACTCTTGTCTCAGAAATTTCTGTGATGCGTCATCAGCCAATCAGCTGCTGGTCAATATGTGAAACCTAGTATTTTTACTTGGCTGATATTCCAGCCAAAAGCAAACAACTTTATCCCATGTCATTAGTTCGTCTGGCTTTGTCTTAGGTAAATATGCCGTTTCCATTGTAATTTTTTAAATATATAAAATAGCTCCATTATAATTTTTGTGGGCCTTTAAGGACCACATATTAGGGATCATTAATCTAGATATTTCTAGACTGTTTCTGTTAATCAGCTGCCCTCACCTTCAGACTTGTCTCAGAGCAGTTTATTATAGAAACTTTATCAGCTGAGTCCCCAACACATCATGGCAGTAATTTTGCCCTATTACAAATAGCTATCTATTACAGATCCACGATGGAATCATTCAACAACCCCTTGAGAGTCAGCGCCAGACCCTAGGCTGGGTGACAGGACTGCAGCAACAAGACCCAAGGCCTAACTCCAGTTGCTCAAAGTCTAAAGGAGACACACTGTTATTAATGTGACCACTGCTATGACCACATAAGCATAGAGTACTATGAGGACACATTAGAGGGCCCTAGCTTCTGGAAGAAGTGATATCCAAGTGTAAACCTGGAAGGAAAGGGAAAGCCGAACAGCATTCCTGGTAGTAGGGACAACATGCCTGAAGACAGGGAAGATGGCAGGGAACCACACACTGTTTAGCAGGATGAGAGAGAGCATACAAATGCATAGCAATAGATGGGTTTGGGTGGACCAGGTAATAAAGGACCTTGTTGAACTTGAACTTGATCCTGAGCACAGTGGAAAGCCATAGAGGGGCCTTAAGCAAGACAGTCGACAACTTTGTGGAGGATAGACCAGAGGGGCAAGTCCAGAGGCCATCAATATCTTAGCTCTGCAGTAGAACCTCTAGCATCTATTAAATTATATACTTGCCCAGCCAATCAAAATGAGAAATTCCATTCTTTTCCCATTATTTAAATCCTATTTCCTTTCATTTTACTTCAAGTATTAAAAAAAATTTTTTTTGCATTTATCTTCAGATAGAGCATGAAGAAGGGATAGAAACATTGATATGAGAGAGACACATTGATTGGTTGCCACCCACACAACCCCAACCAGGGCCGGGGACAAACTGCAACAGAGGTATGTGCCCTTAGTGGGAATCAAATCTGGGACTCCCTGGTTCATGGGCCGGTTTGGCTCAGCTCTAACCGCTGAGCCAAACCGGCCAGGGCACTTCAAATATTTTTTCGTTGTTAATCCTCACTCGAGAATATTTTTCCGTTGATTTTTAGGTAGAGAGGAAGAGAGGGAAACATTGATGTGAGAGAGTCACATTGATTGGTTGCCTCCCACATGACCCCAACTAGAGCCAGGGATTGAACTTGCAGCCCAGGTATGTGCCCTTGACCAGAATCAAACCTCGACCCCTCGTTCCTGGAGCAGATAGTTCAACCGCTGAGCTAAACCAGCCAGGGCCATGTATATTTTTGAGCTTTTATCTATACATCTCTCTGTTCCTTCTTTTCTAGGAGAGGGAAGAGCAGAAGGGGGAGAGGTTGGAGCAAGCAGGAAGAGTGGGCCAAATGTGGTGTTGGGTGTTGGGTGTTGGGTGTTGGGTGTTGGGTGTTGGGTGGGGAAGACAGAGGTCCAGCTACTAGGGCACTGCCTTTCTTCAGGAATGAGTGCAAAAGAGTTTAAAGAGGTAGATGAGAAACTGAAGCTCAGAGATGTTAAGTAACCTATCAGAAGTCACACAGCTAGTGGGGCACCATTTGGATATCAGCTCCAAAGTTTCTGCTCTTGCTGAAGGTTTAGCCGGGCATGGGTCATGCAGGCCCAGCCAAGGCCAAGGGAGCCCAGCAGGATGGAGGCGGAGGCTGTACAATGCAGCACAAGTCCTTTCTTCTCCAAGGTATAACCTGGCTGCCACTCCAGGAAGTTCGGGGATTGAGGCAGCAAAGCCTCTCCTCCATCTTGCCAGGACCTACTGCTGCCCTTCACACAAGGATTCTCAGTGACAGCCTGAACCCACGAGCGATGTGGCTGCACCTGGACTGGACCAGGATTCTGGAGGAAGGGACCTTTTCACATCCCTCTAGAGCAGCGGTTCTCAACCTGTGGGTTGCGACCCCTTTGGGAGTCGAACGACCCTTTCACGGGGGTCGCCTAAGACCATCGGAAAACACTTATTTCCAATGGCAATTCAACAAAAATAATTTTATGGTTGGGGGTCACCACAACATGCGGAACTGTTTTAAAGGGTCGCGGCATCAGAAAGGTTGAGAGCACTGTTCTAGAGTCTTTTCATAAAGAAACACTTAGGAATCACAGTCAAGGATGGACAGAGATTGAAGGACATGAGTTGGTCCAGAAATGTCAAGTGGCCATCATGTATGATGCCAATGTTCCCCTTTAGACCCATAGCAAGACATCACCAGTCAATCATAAACCCCGAGTCCTAACCTCCGAATTCTTCTGAACCCCCTGGTCCAGACCCCCTCTCTACTCAATTAATTGCAGTTGGCATGCAAGATAAAATCTAGTTAGCACCGTTAGCAGATGCCATGCATGCCCTGTCCATCCCCTCATCCGTTCCATCTCAAGGCATATCAGCCTGGCCCTCTGCTGCCAGTGCTGGCATCCCTTTGTCTAAGACGGGCCAGCGGTCCAGGAATTAACACCCCAGGGCAGTCCTTAGCCAGTGACTGGCAAGAGCTGCCAAATACGCCAGTTCCCTTACACTTGGGAACTGATTATCGGGATCCCCAAACGAAGACACCCCCTTCATCTAGTCTAATACTTCCATTTTCTGGAAAAGAACTGAGGCTTGGAGGAAGGGAGTGACTTGCCCAAGCCAGAGCCAGTGGCAGGACCCTCATGAGCACCCCGTTCTCCTGACCTAGGGTTTAGCTCTTCCCAGTGCTGCTGCCTCTGTCTATCCATCCCATCCGCACCCCGTGGACTAGGCAGTTTAAATCCCAGTGAAAAAGATAAGACCTGTCACAGGCTAGACAACCCACAGGCAACAGAACCAGGCTGCAGAGGGACTCTCCCTGGAGCTCCAGGCTCATTTCTGGGGTAGACACCTCTCTTCCCTTGGTCTGGGGCCCCCGACCAGGGCCCTGGTCTCCTCAGCAGAGCAATCAGGCTGCAGGGGATCTCACAACTCAGGGGTGGGTAGAGGGGTTAGTGGGGTTAGCAACCTGTCCCTACCCCTCCCCTATCACAGGCACCATCTCTAGAAAAATTGAAATGCACATGGCCACTTTTTAAGAGAACATAATTTAAAATTATATTTGCTTTATAAATTTAGTGGAAAATGCATATTCTTTCAACCTAGATTACCTATTTAATCGAACAGAACATCAATGAGACAATGACCCCTGCTTTTTAGCTCCTAGAATATTAGTTCTGGGTATTTCTGCCTGGACCTTCATGCAGCTGAGGGGCCTGAGATTCTCCAGTCTCATCACTGATGTGGAGAAGAAAGCACATCCTGAAAAGCTCCTGGGTTCAAGCCCCTACCCCTACCCCGTACTGTGTGACTTGAGGGCTGTTCCTCTCTGTACCTCAGGCTCTTTGTCTGTGAAATGGGCATGAGGATTTCAACAGCCTTGGAGCCTTGTCAGAATGCAGAGTGGGAAAAGGCTGTGGGGGAGGGGGGGCGCTTCCTGCCCTTTCCTCTGCCTGGGAGGTAGTCTGGGAAGGGACTGCCCACAGAGAGGGTGTGGCCAGGCAGGGCCTCTTGTCCTCCCTCCTCCAGGCTGCCCCTGGTGACAAGGAGGGAACCTGAGCTCAGTTCTACGCACCCAGAGACTAGAACTGGGAGCTGGGAGCTGGGAGCTGGGAGCTGGAGACATGAACAAGATCTTCCCCCAGGTAAGATTTGCCCTGAGATGGCTCCTGATCCCAGGGAGCCAACGTGGGGTGGGAGAGAAGTTGAAGCAGCTCAGCTTCCGCCTGCTCTGGAGGGGTGGGGCGGGATCCATCCACATCATGGGAGGGGGCCTCAGGGAAAGCCTCTCTGAGGAGGAGCCCAGGGGCTGGTTTGAAGGATGAATGTTTACCAAGTGGACAGTGCAGGCAAAGGCCTCCCAGGCGGAGGGCCCAGTGCAGGCAAAGATGTGGAAATGTGAAGCGGGCCTGGTGAGTTTTTTATGAGGGGCCAGTGGTTCCACCTAAGGCTCTCAGTGACTTCTGTGAAAAACTCTGGTGCGACACCATGAGGCTGGACTTCACCTCGCCGAAGCCCACCCCTCACTCTGTTCTCGGGCAGGAGGAAGTCAGTGGCAATGCTGCAGCTGGAACCAAAGTCCTCCCTGGAGAAGAAGGTAAAGGATGGAGGGTTTGGGGCCGGTGCCCTGCGGGCCCTCTCCCCAGCTAGGGTTCCCCAGGTTAAGCCATTGCTATAGAGGCACAAAGAGAGCCCTCAGACCTCTGCCCCTTATGATGGCCCCTGGTTACCTGCGTTTACCCTGTGTTTGCTGACAAGGAAACCACCCACTAGGGCTTGCAGGGGTTACCAGTTTTAGATTTGTGCTGTATCTCCTACTGTAGTCTTCTTTCCCAACACCCACTCCCCCAAGCTCCAGCCACACCAGACCACTTGCTATTCCCCACACGCCACCCACCAGGCCTTACTCCTACGCTCTCCACCTGGAATGTTCTCTCCTTGTACCCTCCCCTCAGCTGCTGGTGGAAATCCCACCCTCTGAGCAGCTGGGGCACTTGCTCACACTTCCTTAACCACACTTGCTACCTGGCTCTGATTGCTGCACAGGGACAGATCCGACCAGAAGGTGAGCAGAATAGGCAGCTCCACAAATACGAGTGCATTGGATGGAAACGACCTGCACTGACTGAATTGGGGCTCTTTCCTTGTCTCCTGGAGCTCTGGGTCAGAGTATTCCCAAAGACCTACTGTGTGCCTGCCTCTGGGCTGGACCCCGGGGACGCAGCTGCATCAGGCCTGTGCTGCTTCTTTCTCTGAAATAACTGGGCCCAGGACAGCTGTCAGACCCATACTCTCCTTTTACCCTACCCATGCTTTGCCTTCAAAGGGCAACTACAAACTTTCAGAGGGCAACGACCTGAGTTCTGACTGCTTTTGTGTCCTCTACAGAGCAGGACACCTAGTAGTTCCTCAACAACGCTTTCTTTTCTTATTTCACAAACAAGCAAAAAAGTTAAAAAAAAAAAAAAAAAAAAAGTTAAATGAGCAGGATGTCTCCTGTTATCGTTATTACCACAGTGCTTGGGATACAGCTTGGCACACAGTAGGTGCTCAATAAACACAATAGCTAAAACCTTTATAGTACTTACTAAGTGCCAAGCACTGTTTTAATATATTAACGAGCTTAATTGTCTCGACAACCCTATGGTAGGTATTATGACCCCCATTTCCCACACGAGGGAACAGGCACAGAGAAGTAAAGTGAAGTCTCAGTGGGGCCCGGCTGGGAAGTAGGGGAGCCAGGATTCCAACCAGCATCCTGGCGGGCTGCAGAACAAACAATCAGTTCGTTTCATGGAAAGGGCTCTGGTTTTGGTGGCAAATAGGTGTGAACTCGTATCTCAGCTCTGCATAAGGCAACCCCAGTCTTGTCTTCTCTGAACCTCAGTTTTCTCACCTATAAAATGTTGTTTAGAAAAATAAAAATGGCTATGAAGGGCCTTCTGTAGTTTCTGCCCCATTATAGGGACTCGAAAAGCAGGTGTCCGTCTTTCCCTGCCTCCTGAGGAGACAGCCTTGTGGAAGGACAGGAGGATGAAGGCATGGAGCAGAGACCTGGGACCCTCATCCTAACTGCCATTCACTAGCCGCAGGACTGGGGCCAGGGACTGGCACTTGGCGGGGTAGGCCCGGGAAGAAATGAGAGCGTCATAGTGGGCTTAGGGGCACCTCCTCCAGGGAACCTCTTTCTGCCTCCAGACTCCCAGGTGGGGACAAGCCACTTATAGGAAGGGCCAGAGGAGGGGGAACCCTGGGCCCGCATGCTGGCTGCTCCATCACAGGTTTCCTGCTCCACACGGCAGGCTGCAGCGCCCTCTGCTGCTCTCGCCGAGGGGCCTGCCTGTCGGCCTTCGTACTGCTCCTGCTGGCAACTCTTGCAGCCCTGATGGCCTTGGTCTCCATCCTTGGACCCCCACCACGTACACCAGGTCAGGGTGCTCAAGAGAGGGTGGGTCAGACTTGCTGAGAGGGGGTGTGGGGCACAGAGAAATGGGGGAACCTGACCCTTCCTGGCTTCTCCACGAAGTGAGTTTTGGACAGTTCCTTAGGGTGTGTGCACAGACTCGAGCACCCACACTGACATTAACATGTCTCTGAGCCTCCATCTGTAATATGAGCTATTGAGAAGACCCAGCTCTGATGACCCACCTGATTCCAGGAAGCCTGCCCTGATTCCCAGGCTGGGTTGGAAGCCCCGTCGGGGCCCCCATAGGGCCCTGACTTTCTCTTCCCCTGGCCTGGCTGTCCTGGGTGCTGCCATACATCTGTGTGTCTGTCTCCATCATGCAGCATAGAAATGTGGCTCCAGCTTCAGGGGTGAGCCCCACATGGTCCCTGCCCTCGTGGAAGTAACAGTTTGGAGAGCGACATAAACAGTAATCAAATAAGCTCATGGAGGCAGGGTTAATGGGGCGCCGAGAGTCTGGACTAGGGCCTCTAGCCCAGTCTAGGAGTCAGAGTGAGCACCTCGAGAAATGAAGGGAGCTGAAGCATGAAGGGAGAGTGGAATTGGTTAGTGGGGGTGGCAGAGGGAGCGCCATGTGTGGCGCCCTGGGGTGGGAGGGAACAGGAGGAGGAGAGACTGCAGGCAGGCCAGGGGACACAGGGCGGCAGCAGTGGCAGGCCAGGTGCCTGGGGCCTCAGAGTCTGCACTGGGAAGGAGGTCACCATCCAGCGAGACATGGGAAGGGGGTTGATCTGGGGGCAGAGTGTCACCACATCTACCTTTCTGACAGAGGGCTCTATAGCCAGGCTGAAGGGTGTTAGGGGACAAGGTGTGAGGGGTTGGGTAAATCCACAGTGTTCTTCAGGCCTGTGCAGAAACACAGCACTTAGAGCAGATGTGCACACATGAGGAGCTGCATCCACGTGCCTGTGTGTGCACGCCGGTGCCTCTGTTCATGCCTGTGCCTGCATGTGTGTATGTATGCATGTATATGTGTGCTTGTGTGTATCTGTGTGCTTGTGTGTGCACGTCCGTGTATGTGTATGTGCACTGAAGTGTGTACGTGTGTGACCATGTGAGTTTCTGAGAGGCAGTTCTGGGAGCTGAGACAGGTTCACATATGCCCAGACACACAAGCACAGCCCCGCCCTTCTCTGCAGTCTGCACGCACGGTATACACATGCTCAGCCATGGAACCAGGGCGGCCTCCCAGCTCTTCTGACAGTTTCCCTGCTGTAATCCTTTGGAACAGCTCTGGGGGTGGGTGCCCCCCTCAGTAGGACGGGAGGGAAGACTCTCAGAAGGACAGACCCATTCAGATGGCTGCCCACCAGTCCTGGACACTGGGGAGGCAGCCCCAGCCTCGGGAATGAGCTGAGCCTACAGGCCTGGGTTATTAGCAGTGTGACCGGGCCCGTCACACCTCTCTGAGCCTTCCTTTTCTCATCTATAAAATGGGGCTGTGTAAATCTCCCCAACAGTCCGATAGGTGTGTACTCTGATCCCCTTGTTGTGGACAAGGAAACTGAGGCTCAGAGAGGTCAAGTCACTGGCGCAAGGTCACTCAGCTGGCAAGTGGTAGAGCTGGGACTTTGGCCTCCAGTGCTGAGCCCAGTATCCTCCTCACTGCCCAGCCGCTTGGTCCAGCTCAGGGTGGGTCTCAGGTATGGGAACCTGGTGATGCCCTTGTGAGCACCACCCTTGACCCTCCGGGGCTTCCCCGCCCACTCAGGGGCCCAGGCCTGTGTGACCCTGACGAACAGGACTGGCTTCCTGTGCCATGACCAGAGGAGCTGCATCTCGGCCAGCGGGGTCTGTGATGGCATCCGTACCTGTCCCCACGGCGAGGACGAGGAAGAGGCCTTGTGCCGTGAGTACCTCTTCAGTCCTGCTCCTGCCCTGGGTTTTCCTCCAACTCCAACTATCCCTGCGGCCAGAATGAGGCTCAATCGTTACTGAAATTACCAGGCACCTTTGTGTCCTCAGGCCTGGGACACCTGCCCCCACCTGCCCCTACCTGTGCACATATGTATGTGCCCACATTAGGGAATGCCTTCACTCTGTCCATGCCCAGCGACCTGTATTCCAACTTCATGGCAAAGTTCAAGTGTTACCTCCTCCAGGAAGCCTTCCCTGACTCTCAAACTAGGTTAAGGTCCCTCCTTAGGGCTCCCACAGACCCTGTGCTTCCCTGTGTCCCAGCCCTAGTCACCTTGGTTGTCACTCTTCTTGGCACTTTTGCCATGGCCATCAGACTGTAAACTCCTCTGGGGCAGGCCTGGTCTGCTTGACCTTAGGTCCCTACTCCTGGTACCGGGCATGCCACGGTGGGGTATTCAGAAAGATTTGCTGAACAAATGATGGAATGAGTGAGTAAATGAATGAGTGAATGAGAAAATCTTGTCCCAGACCTTGAAGACCTGACAGTTCGCAGGAGAGAGGAGCCAGGGCGCTGTCCATGTGGAAGGGAGAGAGTTCGGGGTTGAATGGGTGGAGTAGGGGAGTCAGTGAGGGGAGGATCATTACATCATAGACCCTCAAGACTGGAAGAGATCTTAAAAGTCATCTAGTTATGTCCCAGCTCATGCCCAAATCCTCTCTATAACAAACCGAACAGAGGCCACCCAGCCTCTGCTTGCATACTCCTGGGATGGGGAGCTCGTTACAACTTGAGGCAGCTACTCCCATCATTGCGCGGTTTTTCCGTGGGAATGTCTCCCATTAGCATCCTGGATTGGTTCCAACTCTGCCCTCTCATCAACCCCTGCCCCCCAATGAACCACATCTCAGTCGATCTCTATGATGGTGGCACTGCATGAATTCAGAGATTGCATTTTTGCCTCACGTAAGTGTCCCGTTCCCTGGGCCACACCCTGAGCTCCCAGTCATCCCCATTGTGAGCAGCCTTCTCCGTCCACCAGTACTCCACGGAACACATACCAGCTGCCCATGTCCGTCTCCCTGGACCAGCTCCGGAAGCAGCATGACACTTTGGACTGGCTCTAGTTAGTCCAAGGAACAAAGAAGGCTTTTCCCCTCCCAGGTGTGGGTTATACCTCTAGTGATGTGGCCTGAGTTTGTGTTAATTTTAGGTAGCCTTGTCACACTGCTGCCTAACACAGAACTCACATGCATGAAGGATCTCTGACTCCCTCTCACTGGGTATGTGAACACATCCTCTGAGTTCTGGGACCCATTTGTTTTGTTATGTTCCAGTTGGAGAAGGGTTCCTGGAGATGAAGGAAGTTGAACCTGGACTTGAAGTGGAATGGTTTTGGACAGGTGTCAAGGACATTTCTGGAGGAAGGAAAGGGCAGAGAGGGGCTGCATATGAGTTGAGCAGGGAATGAGGAAGGGAGAGGAGGCTCTCTGGGCATCGTGTTGGATGTACAGGGAAAAAACATTTCTCTCCTTTTGACTCAACCTTCTTCCTGGGATGGATGCCTGGTGACCCTGAGTTTGGCAACTGCCCAAGGTGACCAGGACAATTCTCCTCCAGCTAGCCCGGAGACAGCTGGGACCAGATGTGGACTTCCTCCTGCCTCATCTGTCCTCTGTAGGAGATGTGCCCCAGAGTCTCCCCAGCTTCCTCGTGGCCCGCTGTGGAGACCCAGCTTCCTGGATCTACTCAGACCAAAAATGTGATGGAACCAACAACTGTGGGGACTGCTCAGATGAACTGAGCCCAGGTAGGGGTCTGGACACAGGCTGGGCTGCAGCAGGTGGCCAGGCAGTGACCGGAGGGCAAGGTTGACCAAGGAATCTCTGAGGTTCCTCCTGTACCCGCTCCTTGCATCCTAGAAAGTTGTTCGCCCCTGCCTGGTTGCCTCCAGTAGTGGGGTGCTCACTACCACATCAAGTGGCTCCTTCTGGAGCTTGATTCTTCTGTGGCTCAGAGGGTGATTATGCAAGAAGTATGGATATGGCCCAATGAGGGTTTGAACATGGGTTTCCCTCATCTTCTCTGCACCTCCCAACAACCCTGTGAGGAAAGTAGGGCAGGAATCACTGGCACAAATTTACATGTGGGTAAACTGAGGACAGAGAAGAGAAGGGACTTGATACAATGACTGATAGGAGGGGAGCTTGGTACACTCTCCCTACCAGGTCTCCTGACTCCAAGTCCGTGTCTTTTCACTGCGCCAGATCCTTTTCATTCTCTTCCCCAGTGTTCAATCAACAAACGTGGGCGAGACACTGTTTGGGGCTGGGCCTGTGCCAGGTTCTGCTGGAGGGCAGTCAGGAGTCAAACAAGACTCACATCATGCTGGTGCCAAAGGAAGTGATGAGAACCTGCAGAGCTTTTCCTTGGGAAGGGAGGTGTGAGAATCAAGGGAGACTTAGAAAAGGCAGTATTAGGGAAGGGACAAGGTTTCAACAGACAGAGGCTGAGTGTACAGGGGAGAATGCTGGAGTCCAGGGCGCAGGACCAAGGAGGGAAGTCCATGAGGCTCCCTCAGGGAGTCCTAAGGGGGCTGTGTGGCTTAGGGAGGAAGGGAGGGAGGAAGGCTGGACTAGACCATACGCACTTGTTCAAATTTGAACACTGACCCTGTGCCTGGCACTATTCCTTAATAACAACCTTGAGTAGCTGAGGAAACTGAGACTCAGGGTAAGAGACTTGCTTGAGTCACACAGCCCATGAATTGGGATCTAGATTCTCTCTCCCACCAGGAAATAAGGAATATAGTCAACCCATGTCAGATGGGATGGGGCTCTGGGAAGCCATGGCAAGTGTCAGAGCTAGGGGTGCCTGGGCATTCCAGGACACTACAGCTGCTCTTTTGTTGGCTCTTGTCCCTGCAGTGACTGCATGCCCACCTTGTGGCCCTGGATGGTGGCGCTGCCCCCCAACTGTTTTCAAGTATTGTGACTGTATCCCGAGGAGCCTCTGCCGGGACCTCGTGCAGCACTGTTCCGACTGGTCCGATGAGAACGCCTGCCCTGGGCCCTGAGCGGCACCAGCCCAGAGCACGAGGCTGGTTGAGTGGCACTAGTAATCCTTCACATGAACGCCAAATCAAAGAACACGAGGGCAGGAAGGAGCCTTCAAAATTGTCTAGTGAGATCTACACACTATTATCTCTGAATAAGACTTGCCTCTCCAGCTTTCAAAATGTTCAGCCTCTCCTTGAATGCCTCCAGGTACAGAGAGCTCACTATCATGATAGGCAGCTCCTAACAAAGGTGAGGGGGATCTGCTTTCACCATCGTAGGCTGCCTCTGGGGCCACACTGAGGAAATCTCTCCAAGACAGACTTGCAGATCCTGACCTTACCGCCCTTAGAGAAAAGACGAGTCTGGGCTCCAACACCAAGCTGAGGAATTTAGCCCTTACGTGGGGTGTGTGCCACTTCCGGCCCCTTTGGTACCTGGGCAGATCTTGCTGGGCTTGGCTATAGCCTTAGCATTTCTCTCATCTCGGTAATCCCAGCAGGCCCTACTGACTGATCACAGGAAACAGCACCTGAGCCGGGCCTTTGTCACCCTGCCAGTGGGAAGCCAGCCTGGAGGCTCCAGAACCGTAGAGTAGAAGGTCTCGAGAAAGAGCAGCCCTTCTGTCCACCCCATTCTCCGCCCTGCCACCCCCCTCCACCCGGCGACCATGCCCAGACAAACAGCCCAGGGTTCTTGTAGATCCCAGAGCCTGAGTGAATGAGATGTTTCTCTGCATACCTTTCCAGCTTCACAACACCCAGACAGACAAGGATGGATGCTCCCATTAAACAGATGAGGAAACTGAGGCTCAGAGGGAGAAATGACTTGCCCAGGATCATACAGCAATGTCAGTGCTAGAACTGGGACTCAAATATAGTCTATGGTATCCCAACCCTGAAACCTTTCCTGCTACCAATATGATTATATCTTGGCTTGTAGGGGAAGGGGGAGGGGCATGCAGAGTCCCTGTGTAGTATTTTTTAAATTAGCTTGAGGGTCAGAAAGTGTCCCACCCTTATTCTGAAAGAGAGACTTGGAATCTGGCCAACACGAGCGTTCCTATTGAGGGAGACAGACATACCCCATTGAACATTAATAAAATCTGTTTTATGTATCAGTCTGGTGTAAGTTTTGGACTGAAAATGGACATCTGAGAGATGGGTGAGCTCTGGTTCATTCCTCACTCACTGAAGAGTCTCTAATCACCTGCTCTGGACCCAGCTGGGTGCCAAGCACCCAGACATGAAGAGACCTGGGTCCCAGCTCACAAGGAGCGCAGGGTCTCATGGTGGGGGCACCTTACACCATGGAAGGATGGGGGACAGCAGGAAATGCTAGGCAGAGGGCCCTGAAGAGGGGTCTCTGGGAGCCAGGACACAGTCATGTTCCTGACCCTAATGAACTGAGGACCAGCTCCTAGAACGGCACCTCAGGGATCCTGCCCGAGGGATGGTCAGCTCTGGCTCCGGCTCCTTCAGCTGAGTTTCTCTCCAACGGTAGCATAAGCGAGGAGCTGCGGGTACACTTGGGGTGTCCTGGGTTCTGACCACCGAGCCAGAGGAGCTTCTTTCCCGAGGAGGGGCGTTCGGGCCGGCTCTGGAGGGCAGGAGAGCTTCCAGGGGTCCAAGTGGAAGCGAGGGCATCCCCAGCTGAGGGGCAGTGTGAATGAAGCGTGGATGTGTGACAGGGTATGGCTCGGCCAGGGAATGCCAGCAGGTCGGCGCAGCCAAAACATTGGGGGGATTGGTGGGAGACAGTAGGAGGTGAGCAGGGACATGACCCAGAGAGCACAGCCTGTCACACTTCATCCTAAGGACAAAGGTGATAGGGCGTAATAAACAGCGACACTATCTGGAGCCACAGTGACTTTTAATTACAACAGTTCAAGAAAGAGATGCCAGGACTTGGACCAAGTGGGCAGAGAGGAGGGATATCAAGGACTACTTACGGGTGGAACACCTGGGCCTTAGGGCCCTGCGTGGGTGAGAGTCAGGGGGTGAAGAGGAAGGTGGAGGAGTCCAGAGGCCCGAGGAGCACCTAGCCTCCTGCCTGGGCCATGCCTTCTCCAACGGCAGCAGAGTCCAGGGGAAGAGAGGAACAAGAAGCTAGTTCTGGCACTCAAATGCCAACCTGTTCCTGATACCCCGAGATCGATTGTTGAAAACAAGGTCGCTGGGGACAGTCGGGAACCTGAGCCTATGTTTGCTCATACCAGTGCGCCTCGGTGGTTCACGCAGCAGGAGGGCGCCCAGTTCCCGGCAGGGGCTGCTGGTGCATTGGTTAGGTCCCGTGGGAGAGAGACAGGCGGACCTTGGTGGTCATCCAGACCTGGGGCTCTTCAGTCCTAGGCCTGTGGCTCTTCTGAGAAAAATTCCCAAAGGCACCAACAGCACAGTTGCATATCATTCAAAAATTTAATGAAATGTATTGGGGTGACATTTGTTGATAACTTACATAAGTTTCAGGTGTACAATTCCGTCAGCCAACATCTAAGTACTGTGTGTGTGCTCAACACCCAGTCTAGTCTTCTTCATCACCATATATTTGAGTTTCTTTACCCTCTTCGTCCTCCCCCACCCTCTTCCCTCTGGTAACCACCATACTGGCGCCTGTGTCTATGAGTTTGTTTGTTTGTTGCTTTCTGTTTTATATCCCACATGAGTGAAATCGTATGGTTCCTGTCCTTTTCCATCTCATTTATTTCGTGTAGCATAATAATTCTCGCTGCAGCGCTCGGAGGGAGCTGCTGTTTTCACAAGAGGCTTAGCCGGGCCGAGCGGCTGGTCGCAGAGCATATGACTGGGGGGCGCAGGGCCAGGTGTCTGGGCGCTTAGCTACGGTAGTTCGCTGCTTTATGTTCTGTCTCGTGAGGTCTGGAAGCTGCCAGTGGTGATGATGCCTGAGCAGGGCCGTGATGGAGCCAGGTGGGAGCAGGGCCAGGGCAGTCCTGGCTGAGGAGTGTGAAGCAGTTGCCCGTGGCTGAAGTGTGAGGAGGAGCCTCAGATTCTGGGTTACAGGGAGTGAACTTGACTCAAGGCTGCAGGGAGCGGCAGAGTCAGCGGGAAGAGCACACTGGACTCCTCCTCCTGAGGGGCTGCACAGCAGGCTCCCTCCTCTGTGCCATGGGAAAGGACGCCACGGCCAGACTATCTGCAGGCTCGTGGAGAGGAAAAAGTGAGATCTGGCATGTGAAGGCCCCTTGGAAACAGTAAAGCTTCGAGCAGAATAAAGGGGAGTGTCAAGTGTGTGAGGGGATTAATGGATATTAACAGCCAATGTTTAGTGAGCACAGGCCAAGCACCATTGCAAACTTACCCCTTGTATCTCATTTTCTCTAATCCTCACAACCAGACCAGGAACCTTTACAGAGGCATGAAGTTGCTTGCATAAGATCACACAGCTTTTAAAGGACTTAACCAGGATCAAATTTTGATCAGCCCAAATCCAGAGCCCACCATACCCTTCCTTAACGTTTCAGCCTTTCTCCGCCAGGACTCCCTAGAAGAGAAAGATGGAGCCCAGGCCAGGGGACAGCAGCCTGGAAACAGGAGGTGGCTGATGCTAGCAGAACAGCATTTGTTCTTTTCTTATTTATTGTTTCTTCCTTTTGGAAAGAAGCAGATGCCCTAGCAACCTCCCAAACAGCACTCCATAAGCCAGGTCCAGAAACACACAGCGCCCAGTGCAGACAGCCAGGGCCCTCTGCCGGGTCTCATCAGCAGAGGGGGATTTAATGTCACAGCCTGAAGGAAAAACCCAGGCAGCCAGCATCAATATTTGCCATCTCCCAGCATCCCTGGCCCCAGCTCCAAGATCAGTACTTTAAGTACAACAGGCTCTTGGCTGTGCAAGCATACACGGATAAATGGATGGAATTTAAAGTGGCTCAGCCTTCACCCCAGAGTTTGGACTGGAAATCTGGTCTGATTTCCAGGGTTACTCTGCCATCGATGTTTGCCTGGGACTTTCTGTTCATCCTTAGATTCACTGAACTACAGACATCAAAGCTGAAGAGGCTTTGCCCAGCCAGGCCAACGCAGAGTAGCCCTGCCTGGTGGCTGCCACTGGGATTCTGAGGACTACTCAGTTCAAGGTGGAAGTGATTTCTCTGAGTCCTTTAAAAAATGTTTTAACTGAAATATAATTTGCATACAATGAAATGCACAGATCTTAAGTCTATAGTTCAATTCGTTTTTTAAAATAGTCTATTGAAGTATAATCGACATACAATAAGCTATACATACTTAAAATGTACATTTTCATAAGTTTTGACACATGTATACACCCATGAAACTATCACAATTAAGGTAATAAATATATCCTTCACTCTCAAGTGTCCTTGTACCCTCAGTAATCTTTGCCCTCACCCCTCCCCACCCTCCGTACCATACATGGTAACAGCCAACTTGTGTTCTGTGAGTATAGATTAGTTTGTACTTTATAGAATGTTATGTAAATGGAATCATACAGTATATATTCGTTCTGTCTGGCTGGCTTCTTTCACTCAGGATAACTATTAAGAGATTTATCATGTTGTAGCATGCCCAGTAGTCATTCCTTTTATTTTCGAGTAGCATTCTGTTGCGTGGCTATCATTTGTTTATTCCAGGTTGATGAAATGCATTCTTCACTTGTCCATTCATTAATGGATTTGGGGTTATCCCCAGTTTTGGCTATTACAAATAAAGCTGCCATAAACATTTACATATGTATTTATATAGATGTATGCTTTTATTTATCTTGGGGGAGTGGAACGGCTGGATGTGGTAGGTGTATAGTTTAACTTTCTTTTTTTTTTATCCTCACCTGAGGACATGTTTCCATTTTTTGTTCAGATAGAGTGGGAGGGAGAGAGAGGAAGAGAGAGAGAGAAACATCAACATGAAAGGGACACATCGAGTGGTCGCCACCCACACGACCCCAACCAGGGCCAGGGACAAACTGCAACCAAAGTACATGCCCTTAGCGGGAACCGAACCCGGGTCTCTCTGGACCACAGGCCGATGCTCTAACCGCT